TGTGGAACAGTTACAAGTTTTTTGAGGGACAGGTGGCACTATTGAAGAAGATGGAGAATGTAGATTATGTCTTTGATCCTTCTGCCGAAGCTACTAACACTAATGTTATGGATCGATGGATTCTTGCCAGTTGTCAAAGTCTTCTTAAGTTTGTAAATCAAGAGATGGCAGGTGAGCTTACCCTCGAAAACCCCTTTTGTGACTTTTAACTAATAGATTAAGGTTACCGACTTTACACTGTCGTTCCTCGATTATTGGATCTTATCGACAACACCACGAATTGGTACATTCGTTTCAACCGTAGACGTCTAAAGGGTGAATATGGTCTAGATGACACTAAGCATGCCCTTAACACCCTCTTCGAGGTTCTATTTACCCTGACAAGAGGACTCGCACCATTCACACCATTTCTCACAGACAACATTTATCAACGGCTGTTGCCTCACATTCCCAAGGAGTTACAAGCTGAGGATCCACGAAGTGTACATTTCTTGGCCTTCCCTGACGTAAGAGAAGAGCTCTTCGATGAAGAGGTTGAGCGTCGTGTTGGTCGCATGCAACGTGTCATTGAGTTAGGCAGAGTTTCTAGGGAGCGCCGCACAATTGGTCTTAAGACTCCTCTCAAAACTTTGATTGTCATCCACCATGACCCAGTTTATCTGGAAGATGTTCGTTCTCTGGAAGGCTATATCACTGAGGAACTCAATATCAGAGAACTCGTCCTCACCTCAGATGAAGCCAAGTACAACGTGCAATACAGCGTCAATGCCGACTGGCCAGTCCTTGGAAAGAAGTTGAAGAAGGAAGTGCAGAAGGTCAAGAAGGCTTTGCCAGGGTTGACAAGCGAACAGGTTCACAACTACGTACTAGAAAAATCAATCATTGTCGATGGAATCAAGCTCGAAGAAGGAGATTTGGTCGTTAAGCGGGGTCTTAAGGATGATGAATCCTCCAAGAATCTTGAGACTAACACAGACGAGGATGTTCTTACTATCTTAGATGTAGAGCTCCATGCAGACCTCGCCGACGAGGCATTGGGACGAGAAATCATCAATCGGGTACAAAGATTGCGCAAAAAGGCTGGTCTTCAACCAACGGATGACATTAAAATGGAGTACAAGGTCCTAGAAGATCCTTCTAGCATTGGTTTGCGTGAAGCTTTCACGAGTCAAGCACAGGCAATTGAGAAGGCTTTGCGCCGACCCCTGCATGAAGCTGAAGGAAATGCAGCGGCAGAAAGTATCATTTTGGAGGAGGACCAGGAGATTCAAAAGGCCACATTTTCGCTTAGATTGTTGAAGTTATGATGTTGATGTTTCATAGACATGTTTTCGGGCATCAGAAGGCATTCTAGATAATTACCCTTATGGCATTTACAGTAGAAAGTTTTATGAAATCCTAAAAGTCATTTGCAGAATAGTTCAAAAATCTTTTTATTTGCTTGGGAGCTAAGTGACTACGCAACAGATGAGGTTTGGTGTATACCAAACGTGATGATAGAAACACTGCGACTGTGGAACATGCAGTTGGATAAGGCCGCCAGCTACGGCTTCCCAATGATTCGAATTTTCTAGAGAATAATCCCGGCTACTTCTTCTTCGCAGCAACCTAATAAATATAAGTTATGAGCAACAAAAATAAAGATATTACGAAAGGGCTAATTTAGACGTACCAAATAACAATCTTTCAGTCTCATAAATTCAGTCAGGCATTTATCTTTATGCACGGAATTGTAATCTGCTACGATGCATTTGCCGTATACGGATGCCTGTTTTAGAGGTGTTAATGGATGATGCGGAGTTGGGGGAGAGTTTTATGAATGGACGTTGTGGAGGGGTAAGGGTATGGAGGGGTAAAGGTATAGAGGGGTAAAGGTATGGAGGGGTTGGGTGGATGGAGGGGCAAAGGGTGAAGGGTGAAGTTGTGAAGGGGATGAATGAAGATATACCTCTGTAGAACATTTGGCAACTGCCTGTGCAAATTTCTCGATTGGTCTTGTTCGAGTAGGCATGGTTGCTGAGGATTTGGGTTTGGATTATCTGAGTTGTTGTTCGAGTTTGGGAATAGTGAAAGTAGGTAGTCAGGTGATAAGGCGTTGTTGAGGTGGCCCGTTGAGGTTAGTTAAGTACTGCCTTCCTTATTAGTGACGACTAGAAATTGCCGCACAGTACTCGAGTCATTGGTTATTGTTAATGCGAAAAGTATGATGGTAACAATCCCATGATTAGTCATCCAGACCACAGCATCTTATCGATTTAATTGGAGATGAGATAAGAATATGTTCGCTAGAGTGTCTGTTCGACAAGGGGTCTAGGCTTCTAGCTCCATTTAGCGTTGAATAGTCCTGCACCAAAAAATCGACCGGTAAAAACTTAAAACTTTGTCGCGTCCTTCATTCAATTCATTTATCAATCCCACCAAGACGCGGAATCATGTCCCTCTCTTCAGCGCGCGGCGAAGATTCACATTCACATTCACATTCAGGTTCACAATCAGGTTCATATTCACATTCAAATTCACAATTCACGTTCATAATTCACAATTCACGATTCAAAGAGCTTTAAGAAAGTTGTGCAATTCTCATTCTCATTCTCATAATAATTGCTGTATACCCTTGCTGTACCTTACTCCTCCTGTACCTTGCTTCTCGCTTTCATTGCTGTTTATCGCCGATCCGCGATAACTGTATGTACAAATAAATCACAAAACTGCTTTCTCACGTATATGCCTTTTGATAAGGTCCCATGTCTCCTTTGTCACTTCCGTCCGCACGCGACGGTCCAATCAGTTGGTCAACCACAACGGATGAACCTTATTATACTGATGATGGTATGCTTTGAGATTCAATTCAAATTGAATATGTACAATAATTAATGCTAATGTCTGATAGACTTGCTCATTCTGCATGACATCGTTGTCCGCGCACAACATATCCTACCCACTCTGCTTCCACGCGATAGACTACCCACCAATGCCCTCTTTAGATCATACTATGAAATTCTCCCCCGAGTTGGCATTGACACCGACCATGATAATCGATATGCCAGGATTTTGTTCAAAATTGGCGCCCTACGAGATTTCAAAGGCACACTTTTCGAAAAATTTGAGGAAGTTTTATCCCAAAGAGGTATCACTCTTGAATTTGATACCGATCGACGTGAATATCTACGAAGTAGCAAAGCTACTTCTCCAGATGTCGCAGATTATAAGGAAAGCGACACTCTCTATAATGATGAGAATGAACCACCATTACCACGACGCAATTCCGAGACAGGAGTCTTGGATATGGAAAATGCAGCTCAAGCACAAGCTCAAGCGCTTGAGCCAAAACATAAAAGGAATAAATCCTTCTCTCCTCTACCTCTCGGGCCAGCCACACCCGCCAAAATGAATGAGCTAAAGAGCTTTATATCAGAAGCTACACGCGCAGTGTCGCCGGAGCCTCTCCCGGAACCTACACCGCAACCACCTAGAACCACGCAAAGAGGACGTGAAGAACGTGGCGTGAGTAATGTTAGAAATTGGCTAGAAGCCAGTGAGTATGACCCACCTCGCAGACATGGCAGATCAGTTTCGACACATGGCAGTATTCGGTCAATAAATCGACACCCAGAGAGAGATGCTCAGAGTGGGCGCGCATCTGGTCGAATCCCCCTTGATAAGGTTACAAACGAACATCAAGATACAAGCGACGAGTTGACCACAACCACAGAAGCCGAAGAACAATATGACTCTAACGACGTTGTCGAAAGCAAGGTATCTGTTGGATGGATGGAAGAAAGAGCGAAAATTGTGTCCGAACATTATTTTGAAGAATTTATCATTAAAAAACTCTATGCATGGCGTGATCAAGCAAGAGCAAGTCTAGCACGAAAAGCACATCTGGACGCCATCGCGTCGAAACACGACAATCACGCCCTGCAAGAACAGGCATTTTCCACCTGGCTCGAAATGGCTCGGGAAAAAATGGAGGTGAAACGACAGCTTCAAGAAGCTCGGGAAGTCGCTGAAAGGGCTCAGCAAGCTCATTTGGAAGCCCAGCAGAAGCTTCGGGAGATAGAGGAGCGATTTGTGAAACTCGAAAGAAGAGTTGATAGAGCCAGAGATCGTCATCTCAAGCATAAAGCTTTCACTCACTGGGCTGCGATCACTCGCGAAAAGGTGGAGATAACCAAAGTCGCACAGAGACAGATTCTTAGATCACGAATGTTCACTGCTTGGAAGACTCAAACGGAAGAGACTGAGAAGAAAAATAAGGAAAACGAGGAAAAAGCTCGAAAATTCCAGTTGAGAAAGTTTTTCGGCAAATTGAAAGCAAAGAAAGAGGAAATTGATGAGAAATTGAATATGGCTTCTCAAGTGGCCAAGGGCAACCTTCTCGGGCGAGTATTTTCGAAGTTGGCCCAGGAGAAAAAGGTGGTAGAATTTACCCAACGAATTGACGAAAAGAATAAGCAACGGGCTTTATCAACATGGGTAGAAAAGACACAAGCTGTGAGCGAAGCCACTCAACTAGCGGAGGATGAGAGATTACTCAATGTGGTTACGAAAACCATGGATAGCTGGAAAGAGAAAACGGAAACGCAAGTCGTACTCAACGCCAGAGCCGAGCGTGCAGCCAAGGCCAAACAACTGGGAAGTGCTTTCAAGAAATGGCGTCTTGAAGCTCAAACAGCACCCGCCGAAAAGAAAGTAGTGGCTAGTCACAATGCAAGCTTGTTGAAAATCTCCCTATCGATTTGGAAGCTTCGTACCGAGCAAGAGAAACAAGCCACGGCGATTGATCATGACAAGATAAAACGTGAAGCATTCACCGAGTGGCGACATCAGACTAGGCTGAAAAGACTGAGAGCCATTTCTGATGACCGCGCTGTCGCGAAAGCATCTAAAACCTGGAGATTGGAGACGAAATGTGCAGTTTTACAAAAAGAGAAGAAGGAAGAGACTAAATCTGCGTGCTTAGAAGTCTGGTTTGATAGGTCACAAGATACACGAAGTAGGCGTTGGGAACGCGAAGAGATTGCTCGACGACATGACAACAAAACTGTCGCAGCCTCCGTCCTCAGACGATGGTATGTAAAAATGAATGATCGTGCCGAGATTGAGGCCCGAGCCGCGGACTTTCAAGCTCCACGAATTCTAGGTCAATGTTTCGATTCTATGCGCACGCAGCTCCAGCGGATCGTCAAACTAAACAAGGTGGCTCGCGCTGCCAATAAGTTCTTCGTGATGAACAGCGCTCTAAAAAAGTGGAGACAGGCAACACAGAAATCAAAACGAGAAAAGCGTAAAACTGCGTATATTCAAGTTCGAAGGAACAGAAAACTTTATCTAGCAGGAGATATGTTTTCGCGTTGGCGACAAAAGGCGCAAGAGAAAATGGCACTGAACGAACAAGCACTTCAGTTTGCCCAAGGTAAAACATTTATCATAGGAATGAACTCGTTTGATCAGTGGAGGGCTCGTACGGAAGAAGTGGCGGAATTGGAACCTCTTTGGAAAGAAGTGGTGATGAGGAAATTCTTCAATAGGTGGAAGGATCGTACCGAGTCATTGCAGGTATTGAACATCGAAGCAACGTTGGACTTTCAAGAACGTCAGCAGAGCGATGCCCTTAGGAAATGGAGCTTGCGGACGATGCAAACAAGAGCTATGGCAAACACTGCAAAAGAATTGCACGATAAAAATACAAGGAAAGGACACAGAAAGATGTTTAACTACTGGCGACAGCGAACCGCGCAGCAACGTCCCTTCGTGGACATAAATTCGCCTCCCGGAACCGATACAGCGGAGAATTGGTCAGATTTCGGAGAAGAAGTTGATATGGATGAAATCACGAAGAGGCTTTACGAAAAGGATCCTCCGCGTAGAACGACGGTTCCAATCAAACCTTCATTGAACCCAATCACCCCAAAACCAGGGTACATGGCTACACCATCTCGAAGATCGCAACGAGTTCTTGCTGCATCGGCGCGATTTCATTCAACTACGCCAAGGGCGCCATTGACCACACCACTTGAGCGAGAATTAAGAAAGGGAATTTATGGGACATCCATGCCCTTTTCCAAAAGAGGACGGAGTACATTAGGAATGAGTAGAGGATTTCCAGACATACCTGAAGGATAATATGAATTAATGACTTGTGTATATTGGATATGGAGCATTGCGACGGCGTTTAGGGAATGCTTTACAATGGGAAAAAGAAGGATTATTGTTTCATCACAGGGAATGGAACACAGGGTACAAGACGGAGTTTACATTGGAAACATGGATGTATGTTTTAGCACGGTGTTTTGGCGATTGCATACTTAAATGATTGCATATATTTGCATACTTAACTGGTTGCATACTTAACTGATTGGATACCCACAAATGTTGTGGTACGGAGTATTGGTTATCTGGCGTTTTTCTCCAGCATATGGCCGTCTGGAGAGAGGGACTGGCATCCGCATCGACTCGGTAATGGGATTTACAATTCGCTTCTCGCAATTGAGAACACTCCCACTTTGGAGTGGGGAACTTCCTTCATGGATCTTATATCCATGGGGCATGTAAGGACCTCTCATTTGTTTAGTTGTCTTAAGTAGATTAGAATTATCACAACACCTAGATACTTTCAATAAGATAATTATTAAAGAAAACAAGTCTTTAATGCTCGAGTGATGGGTGTGAAATTGTATGACCATGATATAATATCAGATGATATGGTGGTAGAACTATGTCCCTGCGTAGTAGATCATGGCCGATTTCTTGTCTCGGAACCGCACAATCTATTCATCCAGGCGAGAGCTCCAAGTTTACATGAAGACTTGTACAATAATCGGGAATCATCATCACCAACGAATACTTTTCGACTTCTTTCTAATCCTTTGACATTGGAATCCTCCTCGTGTTGGGAAAACTATTCATGCCATTTTACTGAAAATATGCTCCGAATGCGCTCTGTTATATAGTATGAGAGCAGTGCTTCCTGGAAAGGCACAGGCCAAGCTTCAAGCTGTCTGTACTGGTTATTGGGACAACAGGAGGCTCATAGTGAGTCTGCAATGAAACTGCAGACAGTTTGCATTGTTTTATTACCTTACTAAAATTACACAGGCCTATATCACGGGAAATGCTTTCGTTATACTCACTGGCGCAGACACGATCCTACAAACGATATACGATGACGATGACACTCAACTCGAAGCTATTGCGCTAGACGAAGCCAGTGGGAAGATTGCAGCATGTGCGGGCTCTAATATAAGGATTTATAAACCATATGGGCAGGATGAAGGAGCGCTGAAGGTTAGCATGACACAACCTTAGCTGGCTGGTCTTTTTAGAATGCGGCGCTGAACAAATTTAGTGGTCTCTACAACATAGCATTTCAATCGACGAGAGTGGAAAAGATACAGCAAACACACTGTCATGGGGAATAGCGGAAGAACTATTGGTGGGGAGCTCATGGCTTACTTTATTCTCGACAATCGATGCGCCGGTTGTGGTTTGGAAACAACAACTTGCGAACCCGGCCAAGTTCGCAAATTTCTCGTATGATTCGGCATTTATTGCGTCTATTGGAAAGTACGACAGGCTCGTGAAGATATGGAGGAGGCTGTCGTTCGGGAATGATGACACAAGATTCGACTTCACCTACCTACCGCATCCGCGAACTGTCACGAATATGCACTGGAGGAGGCCGTTTCACATCGACCAAACAATTGATAATGTTTTGTATACGGTGTGCGCAGACAATTTTCTAAGGATCTGGGCACCGAGCGATGTTCATTCATTACAAAGTCTGCAGCTGTGGGGTCAGATTGACTTGCATGAATCGATACAACCGAGAGGATTGGACGGGAACAAGATGTCGAAGCTAAGGTTTGCATTTATCATCGATGGAAAAGATTTTACGGTTGCTACAGAACATGCCGTACAGGAGAGGGCAGCGACTGACTCAGAGGACGACCATGCCTTAGCGCATTTGATCGAGGTTGCGAATCGTAATCCGGAAGTTTGTGTTGTACTGGATGAACATGGACATCTATCTGCATGGGGCCTGGAAAATGTTGGGTCTAAAATAAAACAACCAACGAATATTTTTAACATTGCACATATCGATGGTGTGGAATTGTGTTTACCAACGGAACTGGCCGAGGATACCAGCTATGTTCAGCTCTATAATTTCTGCAACCAGTCTGGCGGGAATCTCAATGTTCTAGTCCACCATTTTGATGGTAAAATTGAGTTTTTTGAGACTGATGTAGCCAATTTGTTTGATCCTTCACCAAGAACGCAACGCCTCAAATCGAAAGCACTATGGACGGGTCATTCAGGTCCTGTCAAGAAAATTGTGCGTAATGTTAGTGGACGAGCAGTAGTATCTCGCACAGATGGCAATGAAAGTATAGTTTGGAAGCATATGGAACATGCGGGCGGAACCTCAGTATTTCGTCAAAGTATCATCTCACAAACTGAGCATGTTCATAGGATATGTGTTATGAGAAAAGGAAATTTCGTGATATATTTACACCACGATCATATTACTCTGTGGGATACAAGACATTCCGCGGCGGTCAAACTAGCGGACTGTAAGTTTTCTGTCATGGGGAAGCCGCTGTGCATACTCATGCTACCTGAGGTCAATAAGGAGGGTCCTGTCGCTCATGTCGCTACAATTACATCGAAGATGAAGGGTATTGTATGGGAGGTCAAGCTGCCCCAAAGGAGGGAAAGTCTTCAAATCAATGGGGATCATCAAGAAGCTTCCATTCGTGAATTCTGTCAATTCGACCTTGGAGACAATGACGATTTAGCATATGTTTTACCTGTGGATCCAGCTGGATCTCCTCCCGTCATCTCCGGATTTTTGGACACTTTTGCGAGAGATATTGCTATCTCCTATACGCATTCTGGACTTTTAAGATCTTGGACCGCCCGGATTGACTTCGAAAAAGAAAAGGTTGACTGGCTACAGACTTGTTCGGTAGACACAGGTATCAGCGAGCCTGCTCTAGCTAGTGGAAGCTCTTTACGAAAAGCTGCACTCGTGAACTCAACTAGATCTGAGTTAACAATATGGGACGTCCGAGGTGCCCGACTTGAGTATTCTCAGGACTATGAATCCCAGGATACAATTCAGGATCTGGATTGGACTTCAACTCCGGACGATCAATCCATTCTTGCTGTAGGCTTCCGTTATCGAGTTGTATTATTGGCACAAATGCGATACGATTATTTGGATAAAGGGCCAGCCTGGGCAGCAATTCGAGAAGTTAATATTCGAGATTTGACAGCCCACCCAATTGGTGATTCAACCTGGTTAGGAGGTGGTAACTTCATTGTTGGAGCAGGTAATCAGTTGTTCGTTTATGATAAGGAGGTCGACTCGTCAGCATCAATAGTCTTACCTTACCGCAAAACTCCTTGGGACCTCTTTGACATTGTTTCTAGATTAAACGGCCCACTTCCGGTTTATCATCCACAATTCTTGAGCCAATACATACTTGCCGGCAAGAATTTATTAGTGCAGCATATTTTGTTGGCACTATACAAGATCCTTAAATATTACATTGAGGGTGAAGCAATCGACTCACACCTCGGAATGAACATAGAAGATTTCTACATTGGCTCGGTCAATGTGTCTTCGGCTAGTAAAGGAATTAGATCTGCATTTGATGGCCTTTCCGACGATGACGAGGTGGAGACAGTTACGGAAGACGTTGCTGCTTCCATAACAGAGAAATTGACGCAGATTGCGCTGCCTCAGCTTTCGAGGCAGGAACAAATTCACCTGGCTGATATTGTTGAATGTGTCGGTATTGTTGAACGTCAGCGTAGATCTATGGATGACAATGCTGCAAGATTTATGCTATTCTTTAGGCAGCATGTCTTACGTCGTGGTCGTGCGAATGAGCTGAGTCTGTCTTGGAGGGAGATCAATTGGGCATACCATAGTAATAGTCAGGATATCCTGGCAGATATGGTCTCACGACAATTCCATGGAAGGATGCTTTGGGAACATGCACGGGAGAGTGGTATCTTTATGTGGATGACGGATGCAAATGCTCTGGTATGTAGTTATTTTGTGTTGAAATTTGAGGATGCTAACAAAGAACAGAAAGCTCAATTTGAAGTCATTGCACGGAATGAATACACAAAGAACGATCTCAAAAACCCCATAGATTGCAGTTTGTATTATCTTGCGCTGAAGAAAAAGGCGGTACTTCAAGGTCTATGGCGCATGGCTGCGTGGAATCGTGAACAAGGCGCTACGACAAGACTCCTAGCGAATAATTTTTCTGAAAAGAAGTGGCGGACTGCTGCAATGAAGAATGCATATGCTTTGCTTGGGAAGCGTCGGTTTGGTGAGTAATACTTTGACTGGTCTTATTTGATCCGTGCTAACAATGGTTAGAATATGCTGCGGCTTTCTTCTTATTGGCAGATTGCCTCAAAGATGCCATCAACGTGATTCTGAGTCAGCTCAAAGATCTTCAACTTGCGATAGCAGTCACCCGTGTATATGAGGGTGAACACGGTCCTATTCTCAAAGAACTTCTTGAAGAAAAGGTTCTGCCATTAGCTGCTCAGGAAGGTAACCGATGGCTTGCATCGTGGGCTTTCTGGATGCTGCATCGTCGTGATATGGCTGTGCGAGCCTTGATCGTAAGAATCCGTACAATTTATTAGCAAGACTCGATTCAAATACTAACATTATCGTTCTAGTCGCCAGTTTACACTCTACTTGAAAGTCCACAATCACCTGATCTCCAAGCAAAACTTTTCCTAACCGATGATCCTGCTCTAGTTGTTCTTTACTCGCAGCTTCGTCAAAAGACCTTACAGACCCTACGTGGCGCATCCAAAGTCACTCCAAAGGTCGAATGGGCTTTCGTATTGCACAATTCAAGACTATATGATCGCATGGGCTGTGATTTATTGGCATTGGATTTGGTGAGGAATTGGGAGTTCATGCTCCCAACCAAACTAGACTTTAAGAGTTTCGATGGTGAAATAAATCCCAGAAAGATGTTGAGAAGAAGGAGCTCGCTAGTTGTGGCCGACTTGCCTATTAGTGGAATTGGACCGGCAGCGGCGGATACAAAAGACGCAATAGTTATACATGGCCCAAACTCATAAGCCGCCACCTACTGTGTTCGAAGAACCGGAGGCTAATAGTCTTTTGGATAGTTTTGGTTTTTAGTCTTGAGCGTTTGCATTTTTTATGGCGTTGTATTTTAGCTTTGTGTTACATACCCTACCTGTTCTTGATGTGATATTTTGGGCTTGGACAATGAGGGACTTATGGTATAGCGTAATGCATAGCGTCTGGATGGGAAATCCGGTGTTTTGAGCCTATTTTGTGGTTTGGTAACAGTGATTTGACGTTTCGAACCCGGGTCCTTGGGCATAATTGGTGCAATTGTGAAATTTGTCGGATGATGCAAATACTAGCTATTTCAAGTGAAAAATGAATTGCATAGTCAACCAGCCTTGTGTTGCGTCTCATCATCTATTCAACTTTATTGTGGTTTTCTCATCTTTCAAAATGCTTCATTGATGTGAATTTAAGGTACAAATAACGACAAGTGTCAATTCTTAAACCCTAATACAACATGTATGTCAAATCCCACATAGCATTCGCTCTCGATATCTCGCTCTGCCTCTGTCTCTGCCTCTGCCTCTTACCTTTCGAGCTCATCATTTAATGAGGAGCTGTGGGGCGGTTCGTGGCAAAAGTAGTCTCGACAACTAAATATAGCCTGCATGTGGTTACTTGTGAGAGTAGTTCTCGTGTCCACAACTTCGATCCGAGCTTACGATATCTTCCTCTAATTTTACAAGTCCTTTGTTCTGGAAAATCTGGGGCAACATCTTCCAGCCATATGAGAACTTATCTTTAAGGCCAATCTTGAAGCGAGACCCCATCAATCGCGTTGTATGTACGGAAGATTGTATGCTGCCACTTATATGCTGGACATCTGCCCATGTGCATTCTTTCCATTGAATTTCACCTCCTGGTTTGAGCAACTGAATGATGCTGTGCACTACCAATTCCCATTCTGTCGATGCAATACCCGCAGCTATGAGACGGAGATGGATAAGATCGTATTTGCTCTGTTTGGACAGCGGAATGGCTTGCTTGATATCCATAATGTCTAAGTGAACATTGTATGGTAGTGTTCTGCTGTAGGGAACAGTGCAGGAGATATATCAAAGCCATGAAAAACTGCATCCGGATATATCTTTGCGAGTTGTGTGAGGAATATTTCAGTACCGGTACCTGTATTTACAATAGTTGGGGATGGAGGGAGCTCCGAGATGAGTGATGGATGCAGCATGTATCCGATATTTCTATCGCACCAATTAATCATTAGTCTTTCCTTCAACGTTTGCAAAGACTACTGCGTTACCTGTTCAGCAGTTCAAATTGTTCGTCTAGTCTTGTCGAATATTAGCATTAATTGTTCATAAGAGCCTGAGCAAACCCAGAAGGGGTTGGGGGCGTTGTTGATTGGTACGGGGCTAGTAGATGCCACTCCTTGTGAATGAATATGAGGTTGTGGGCCGCGATCCCGGTGCAGCTGGCCATAAAAGCGTTTGGAAACATCAAACTCATCTTGAGCTGAGTGAATGTATTGTATAAGAATGAGGGAGAAGATTCGTCTCCTAGAGTTAAAGATGATTGATATCCTAGTAAACGGTAAAGTTCTATCAATGTACCAGCACCTTCCAAATTATGCCATTATAGGTAATAACTTTTTCACTAGCATCTGTACTTTATTTGCACAATGATATAAAATTTTTATTAAACAGTAATTCGGGCTTACAGCTACATTTGGATTAGTATGCACATGCACATGCACATGCATGTGCTATGTTGGATGTTGGTGAATAGTGTTCTGCCTAAGGCTGATGGCGCATAAGGTCCAACCTTGTCCCCCCTTCAAACAATGATTCCAATTCGTATCATCCCACTCATCTTTCGTTTTCCTTAAACTTTAAGCCATCTACTTGATACGACTATAAAAACTATGTCTTCATCATTTGTCGTTGTTATATGCCATGGATCTTATCATACGCCTCGTAATCGCTTCTCCGGCGGAGAATGAAGATTTATATTGGGCTTTTTCCGGGGGCGGCGGAGGAACTTATAGAGCAGTTATATTTATGAAAAATAGGGCACACCGAGATGAACGAACCGCAGCCGCAAATCTTATTTTCACTAACGCAGGAAGATAACAAGATGCATTCTTTGAAGTGGTCGAGACGTTCATCCGAACCCTTCCTACTTTGGTTGATGCAGGAGGTGTTAGCGTGTGGCTGCTGACAAACTCGTCTTTTGCAATGACACCTACTTCGGGGGTATGGCCAGCTAAGTCGGAATTAGATGAAATCATGCGCCCTACTATCATGAAGCTGGAAGAGGATTATGTTACCCACAGTATGTTGCGACCTCTGTACTGGCTATGAACGCATAGCTAACAATCTCCTCAAAGTATATTTTGTCGATGAGTTTCCTGCTTTTTTAGACGCCTTCAAAGTAATAAATCCCCAGGATCCCATCAATAATTCAGATTGGAGGACGCTTCATTCCACGCTCTCTGGTGGAGTCAAGTAATGGCAGCCAAAAGTTAATTGCCGCAATACGGGATATATCTAATAAGGTACTGTAGGAGCTATATCAGAGACACAGTCACCTCGTTAAGGTTCTCGTTTATTTCTTATTTACAGTACTAGCGCACTGCTACTAGCTGAATGGCCTTTTGACACCAAAACTCAACAATTTTAAAAGGTTATAACAATTTTGATTATTATAAAAGTATAATTGAAATTGAGAAATTAAATTATTTTGAATCGATTATATAGTAAAAATTTGATAGATTATTTTTTGAAATTTTTAAAATAATGTGATTTAAGTTCGAAAATGATTATATGAAATTTTGATTCAATTTTTGCGGTAAAATGTTACGAGGTTTGCCGTCTAGATCACGTGGAAGTGCTCTAGGCTCTCGAAGTGGTTTATAACTAGGCGTCAAGCAGGGACTTAAGTAATGACAATGATGCAATTCGTAACTAATAGTAGAGTATACTAAATGATTGATCTTGAGCACGAGGCTTTATAGGAAGGAATTCATACTGAATATATAGATCCTCGTAATTCTTGGATCACTCAGGATCACTGATGATCCAAGGTGATCCAGCATACCTGTTCATATGCTCTGGTGGTGTGTGTATGTGTGTGTGTGTTATTATTTAACGGCCAGAGGCCGAGGGGGCGAAGCCCCCCGTCCTCGTGACATCCCCTATTGGGGCAAAGGCCGCCAGGGAGTTACTCCTAGGCGTCTAATAGTTACGTACATGTAGCTATATCTAAAGATCGAAACGATTCCTAGGCGCATTCCCGTAGCTGCCGTGATCTTAAATATGAAAATAAGGAATCTTTCCCTTAATGGGGAAGATTACATAATACGAATATCTGCCAAGCCGCAGCCGGTCCGCACACACCCCATGACCTCCTTAGCGCTCTCATAAATGTTTTTTTTTTAAGGTTATAAAGAAAAATGACAAAGGAAAGGTTTTTACAAAGGAAAGAGTATATTTATCTGGCAATTTGTTAGTCTGTAGGGCTATCATTGACCCTAGGGGGTTCGTGGTCTAGTATAGGGCCCTCGGGGCCGGGAAGGGGGTGATGTCGTAGGCATATGTCCGTGAAGAAGCCATTGGATTTCGTCCATCTTACAAGCGTCTCCGCTCCTTCATAGGTGCCGCAGAGGAAGGGTATCAGATCAACTAGTTTGCCTTTCGGCTGGAGGTGTTTTTTCTTGGCTATGTGACAAAAGAAGAAGTGAAGTGGGGATTTGCGGGCTCCGCATCTGCAGAGTAGGTGGGCGTCTTGATGGTGAAAGCGTTCATGGTAGGCTGCAAAATCGCCATATCCTGAACGGATAGCTAACAGACGGCCTAGGAAGCTCCTGGGTAGAGCTAATTCCTTGGGGTTTTTGGGGGATGTGAGAATCTCCAGTTTTTTGTATGATTGAGGGATCATTGTCGACTATAACTTATTTATTGCCCTTTGCCTGTAGCCCTTGGCCTCTTTTCTAAGTCCTATGTATAAATAGGCTCCTTTTAGTTGGGGTAGTGCTACTCTTGCTTTCGCTGCTTTGTCTGCGGCTCCGTTTCCCGCTACATCCTTGTGTCCTGGAACCTATCGGATGTGGACTGTGCCGTTGAACCAGCTTGCAGCCAGGTGTCGGAAGGATGTGAAGGTCTCTTGTGAGGAGCCTGGTCGCCACTCTCATGTTATCTAGGTATATCCATATATCCCTCGCTGTTCTCGCTTCGATCGAGGTTAGTGCTACTCTGAGGCCCTCGAGTGCTGCTACCGCTTCAGCGTCATAAACTTCCTTCGATCTGTCTAATGCGAAGCTTCCTTCGCAGATCTTCCGGTTATCTTGGTATCCAACAAACCCGCCTCCCGTGCTGTCGTTTATATATTTCGATTCGTTTGTGAAGATTATAATATCTTCTCGTGGGAGTAAACTGTAGAATTCATTAAAATCCACTGCGGTTGTGCTTTTGGTTCGACCTTTGGGGCTGTGTATACGGTCTGTGGTCTCTTCTCTTGTTTCGGGGTCGAGCCACTTGGGGGTTACTAGGGGGTTGATTTGTTCCGATGGGGGAAGGGACAAGATGCATCTGGCATATCGGGTTTTAAAATAGTTTGGGTTCTCTTGGATCCATTCTGATCTCCACACAAGGGGGTGGTAAGGGTCTAGTCTTCTGGTTCTGACTGTTGCTGTGAGGGCCATATTGTCGAGTTCGATCTCCGGTGGTCTGAGTCCCGTCTCTCGGTAGAGGGTTGCTGTGTTTGTTGTTCTCCAGACCGGCAGTATTGCTCTGGCGCATTCTAGGACTCCTCTCATCGAGTTGCCGAGGGACTTGAGGGCTTTGGTCACTATCATTGCTTTTGCAGCGAGCTCTCTCACATGCCATTTGAAGGACAGTCTTTTGTCAAAGAGGATGCCTAGCCATCGAAGGTAGGGCTTCCCGTTACTGAGTTCCTTGATTACCCGGCCCCCCATGGTGACCGTTGGGGTTGAGTTGGGGTCCTTGTCTGACAAGTGCTTGGAGAAGTGTATCAGTTCAGATTTGCCGGGATCGAAGGTAATGCCTTCCGATGTGCCCTAGTTCAAAATCTCGTCTACCGTGGAAGTGATTCGCTCGGCGTTTTCAGCCAGGGATTTCGAGGCAGCCAGTATGGCTACGTCATCTGCATATCCGAACTTGACCGTGTCTTCCCCCATCCTGAAGATTGGGGCGATGTAAAGCATGAAGAGGATTGGCGAAATGGGGGAGCCTTGAGGGAGCCCGCACTCAATGTTCGTTTTTGGGCCTGTGATTCCGTCTAGTCGAACCTGGGCCGACCTTCCGGTCGCAAAGGAGGTGATCCATTTGACTAGGTTGTGGGGCCATCCTTGTTCGCGAAGTCTTCGAATTAGTCTGCCTGGGAGGACGGCGTCGAAGGCTCCCATATGCTCTGGGGGTGCGTGTATATGAGTTTTTAGGGTGACCGAAATCTCATATTAAATTGAGCGAATCGTAACAGGTTTACGAAAACAAGTCAGCTGTTACCATCGTAACAACCGACCGAAACTTAGCCCTTTTGATAATTTATAATAATTCAATAAAATAAGATATATTAACGTAATGTATGGGGAACTCGGACATATGGGGAACTCGGACACTTTTTCAATTATTCTACACGCGATCTTGTTCTACGAGCCACACAATCCTCCAATTCCAATTCTGAATCATTTGAACTATTCTCTAGCTCTTCTTCTTCAATCTCTTCTTCTGATTCTTCAATTGGGCGCTTGCGTGGTCGTCCTTGTGGCTTTTTCTCCTTAGGTTTTTCCTTCGCTTTATGTACTATTTTCAGTATTTCCTTAGTATTAAAGACAAATTAATCTTGTAATTTGACTCTTTTGCCTTTAGTTCTCTTTTTTCGAGTCCCAATTACTTCCTGAGTATCAGCGAGCTGTTTCCGAAGTAAGGCTATCTCAGCATTTTGAGATTCTACAAGCTTAGTCATTCTCTTAGTATATCGACGAATTGATGATATAGGAGAACTACTGCTTGCTAGAGCTATATTAAAGATCTGATTTGCTTGTATTAGTTCTGTCCCATCTAGAGGAGAACTTTTGAGTATAGATAAGTCTAGGTCTTGATTGGGGGTTCTTATTTGTGGAGTAGAAGGTTGTTAGGAGAAGTTAAATGGTAATGTATCGAGTACTTTTCGTGGGGCAAAAGATACTAAACCAGCTTTTCTTTAGCCAGCTTTAATATTAGAAGAATTCAATGCTTTTTTTCTAATATTTTGAAAGAGTTCTACCTATTCAGCTCTTTGAATTCGCTTTACACCAGTTCGAGAATATCGATCGATCTCCAAAGCATAATATCGTTTCATTGGTCTATACATTGCAATATCAAATAGCTGAAGCAAATAGGAGCAATAAAAAGGTAATATAAGTAAATCGATATCCTTCTCTATACAGAAAGCAATAAAGCTGTTTGTAATATAATTTGAATAGTCATCCATAATCAAAAATCGAGGTCGATCACCTGACACTTTCTTGGATTCTGGTTCGAAAACCCTTTTTAACCATTCTAATCCATGATTATTTGAGGTCCATCCATTTGTACTAATAGAGAACTGCTAGCTTTGAAATGTATCTTTTGGAATCCATACAGAATTCATATTCTGAGCCTTGAAAATGATTATAGATAATAAAGCCTTTCCAACTATATTAATATATTCAAATACAATTATCCATTCTTGTTTGCTAGCTATAACTTTCCAATTCGATTTCTGAGTAGAATCGACTATAATGCATATACTTTGAGTACTTCCAACTCCAAATCCGATTTCGTCTATATTATATATATCATTTAATTCATACTTTCGTTCAATAAAACATATACAAAACATATCAAATCAAGCCTGAATATTCTTCAAAATTGTCTCTTTAGTCTGATTAGACTCTAATTGATGTGAATAGTATATTTTAAGTTCTGTATATCGTTTTTGGAATCTATAGATCCATTTGTAGTCTATAGGTGGAATTTCTATTGAGGTAGGAATTTGAGATAATGCAACCTGAACGCATCAAAGACGAATTTCGTCAACCATTTCCTTTACTAATATAGATATAATAGGGAATCCAGTGATTATGAATTGTGAAATCCATCGTACAAGAGTATTTTCTTCTATGTTTGAAAGAATTTGAGCTATTTCGTAGGTTTGGGAACATGTTTTCTTCCCAGTCAGCCTATTGGCTAGAATGGACTTAGAGACTTCAAAATGCTCTGCAGCCTTTCTAATTGATTTAAATTCTTTTAATTGAAGTGCAACTATAGCCTGTTGAAGCTTCTCTCCAATCTGAGCAGGTGTAAAAAGTGATTGGGTATACATAATAAAAGTTATTAGGGTTTCAAGTTGGCGATAGGCAAAAAGTGTCCGAGTTCCCCATATGTCCGAGTTCCCCATACGTTACGTTATTTGAAATTAATATATTATTATTCTATTAGTATTCTTTAATCTTTAAAATTAAAATAATTAAATAACTTATTTCTAATTTTATATTATTGAGTTTTGAATCTTTTATTAAAAAAAAATATAAGATTTGTTTATTTTTGATGTGAAAGTTATATCATTTTTATTAAAAGATTGGGTGGAAGAGGCCTCTATATTGACTATATTACTACGTCTGTAGGCATATTAATCTCCTCTTGGTATCCTCGGAGGGGACCAATATGCCTGCTTATGGTTCGTCTAATCTAGCCTGTTTAGGTAACCGTATTACTAATCACGACACGTGATTAGTACCGGTAACTTCTATTCCTTTTAACAATTTTTTATTTTTATTTTTTAATTTGTTATAAATCAATCAATTTTAAATTAATAATTTTGAAATTTTCATATAATAAAATTTATTTATTTATATATTATAAGTTTTAATTTTGATAATATTTATCAAATGAATTTGAAACAAATATATATTAAAATTCATATATTAAAATCTTTACTTTTTGTATATTAATCTTTCAATATTTTAATATTCATTATAATCTAACTTTTATTTTATAATATTATTGTGACCAAAAGGGTGTTTATAGACCAGCAATTGTATTTAACTTAGAATCTACAGGTGAAGAGCACCTGTAGATGGGGATAGCTACTCTATATATACACAAATGAATGGCCTAGCCGCAAGGGCTAGGCAAAAAGAAGTCATATTTATCCCTCCAATGATCTTACTTTACCGATAACCATTGATACCTAGTACTTGTTCGGATCTGATCCTCAGACCACCTAAATCGTATACTAATCCCGAGTAATCGTATCATGTGTGAACATGGTTAATGTACCTGAGGTTTCTTATATAATAAGGGTGGGAGGAAAGCAGGGGTTTCCGTCACAATTATAATTTAGCATTTCAATATTTTATAATCTTTTTTATATTAATAGTATTATTAATTGAAAAGTTATTAAGGCTGGAATATATAGCGTTTATAATGAAAATTATGACGCGAGAACTTTAACGTAGGTACTATAGCTATAAACGCTTCTGTAAAGCCCGTTTTAGGGGTTTTAGGTTTTGAGGGTTTAAATCGGAGGATTTAGTAGGTTGCCGGAGGGTGTTGGGGTGATTGGGAAGGTTGGATGGAGGCTTAGGATGACAGATTTGGTAGGTTGGAAGTAGTGGGTTAGACAAGTGCTATGAAAAATGGGTGTTTTAATCTCTTGAAGTTTTAAAAGAACAATAATACACATATTTAACCTTTAAATCCTATAAAATGATAGCACCTCAACCAAGTTCCATGCAAACAACAGGAGTTCAGATCTCTTGGGTGATGATAATATCGACAGATAAATTCATCTATTCAAGCTACATCTTGTCAGATGATACTAAAGTCCAAATCTTTCACATTACACATGGCTCTTTTACCATGCTGTCTATCTATCTAGATCGCAGTTGCCGGAATATTCATCCTGAGTATTAGAATCCCCAGAGCATGTGTACGTAATGTCATGTCATTATTGGTATCACCCACAAGTAGCTTGGACAATTTTCATGTAGCTTATGTACCGCTCAAAGAATTCAAAGAGTGACTCAGGTCAATTAAACATAAATGATAACTAGTAAAGAATTCAGAAAGTCATTACGCTCATTTTGAATTATGTACCTCATTTCATGGTGTGCTAACACATCGAACCCCATTTCAAACGACAGCAAGTGACACACACTATAATTCATTGAAGACAGTCTATGCTACACATATATCATCCATGTGATTCAGAGACCGACATATGTAAAGAGCTTCAGTACCCTCGCTTAGGAAATAGTTCAGAAAAAGACTTCATAAAAGAAGTAGCATTGACGACCAGCTCCTGCGCCTTCAACATCTTCTCCATATCCTTCTGAACTTCCAGTTCGAGCAGAGTAGTAACTGGCGAAGCCTCGTAAGCGACATTTTGTTCGTTCGTCAAAAGTGCAAGATAGGGTAAAATATTGTCGTTATACTGAACAACATTAGTATCTGAATGAGAGCTATGGGATCAAAGCAAGAGCTACTAACAGCCATCCAGCTAATCTTTCTTTTACCCTCCGCATCAAAAGCATCCCTGAAACCCCATGGAATCTCAGCATTAGATAATCCCGCTCGATCAACATACATATTCCAATTATGGTACAACTCGAAGACGTCCTCTTGTGAGGGTAATTCCTTGAATCCACTTTCTTGCATTTTGGCCAGGGCGGTTGCTGCTAGTATCTCCGGGAATGTATGATCACGACCACATCGCGGAGGCGTCATAACCTGTCCATTTTTGGCTTGTGCGAAGGCTAGATCTCCTAGTTCGAGTATTTGAAGTATTTGAGCGATGTGCGTTGGAGTGTTCGGCGTGAAACTCCATTGACTCTTGCTGGGGTCGGGTGGCATGTTTTCATGAGACCAGATGCGGGGTTTAGGATCACCATAATCCAAGAAAGATCTTGTTTTGCCTGACTTCGTCTGGTCGCCTAGGTTGTCTTCGGTTAATGGTCCTGGATATCTGAATATTCTTGGTGCCGGGCGGAATTCAAAATCACTCGACCCTTCCGCTGGTATGCCATAATATGCGTTATGTTGTTTCCACCAGCTGCTGCGCTGTGGAATGGGGTCTATCATTGGTGTTGCTGCTCAAAGATGTAAGTGTTATAACTCTTTTTAGATCTAGGGGAGGCTTGTTGGTGACATACACATCATAATTGTCAGCTTACGTGTGAGCAACGTTAGATGTAGGAGGTTGGAGTAAAAACTAAAATTTGATGTGTAGAAGGTAATTGAGAAATTGATTCAATCCGCGGGCTAGACACCTTTTTTATACGCGAGAAGAGCATGCTGAAGAGGGTAAATGTGGTGCAAGCAGAAGAATACTGTAAGCCAATGTCATGATATAAGAGGTTTCATGATGTGTATCACGAAAACTAAAGTGTGGTTATTTCTTCAGCTTCCAAATGCATTTACTTGTATCATCATAATATTCGGTTGCCGATAGTGACGAGGAAAGGAGCGGGGTTTGCCAGCCAATTTCCCTAATTGTAAAAACCTGCAGCTCAGCCTATTGGCATCCTGAAAATTGTAGTACACAATTGGCTAATGCCCACAACAAACTCACTTATGTACATATATATATTGCGTGTGAGGCAACATAGCATTCCTCGTGGATGACATCAATGCTAAATAGCTTCCTCTCCAGAAAATACGCTCCTGAAAGTTGAAGAAAGATTTCCATTTCCCCTTCCAGATTGACATCATCCAGCAATCTAGAACTTCGATTTATCATTCATCGCAGGGCGCGAGATGACAGGCATCCTAGAAATGCGAATAAAAACTTTGAAAGCTTCCGAGATTTCTCCCCAGGACAGACCAAGTTTGATGGTGTTAGATCGACAGCTCAAGCAGCGAAATACATGGGTGAAATTCTGCAAAGGTAAAAACATTACGATAAACTATTACAAGACATTTCCATCTACAGTACTCTAATCTACAACTTGATGCTTTATGTTGCTTAATAACTACTTATTTGTGCCACTGTCGACGTATACCCCTCGACACATAGTACGCACTTGAGCCATCTTGTCATTGACAAGAAGTTAAACTGCCTGGTTTAATCTTCTCGATAGAGATTTCGTTAATAGTGCTTGTACCGGTCATGGCAAAAAGTCGACGTCGACCAGAATATTTGACATTGACATTTCGAATCGTCGTTGCGCAGAAATCTTGAACTATGACTTTTGTTACTTAAGCTAGTCAGCGAGCCGTAGCAAGTTCCTCGCATCAATGAATGCCACTCCGAAGTGTCACCACGATCTTCAAATGTGTCCGACTCTGTCATCACTTGACACATCAAAAAACTTATTGTTCTGGAGAAGATCTTCCCGTGGCCCATTGATGATTGATTCACTGCCCTTTTGTGTCGACGGAAAAGGGTGTAAAATGTCTGGAGCTTGTAGATTCATCAAAACACCATTGTGTATACAAAATTCCCTTGGTAGTTAATAATAATTATAAGCAAATATCGAGGGTCTAATCCATTTGGAATCACTTGATCACAAATTATTGTGGACGAACTCTAACGCACATCAAATCAAAACGTACAATTCTATGCCTGTAATCGTCCAATCTTCCTGCTGGATTATAGTTTGTAGCACGGAGTTGTGTGAACAGGGTATCATTTATCCTAAAGCTAACGCTGAAAAAATTAAGAGGGCTTTTATCCTATCATAAGCTATGGTTCATGCCTCGTTTCGCTTTCTTCACCTGTCTTTACCAGTCACATACCCTTCCTAATCTTCGTCACAAAACACGTTCCTCATCTTTTATATTTATGCAATGATAAGCTGCAAACTCAAGTTAGCCTTGACATTTGACCGAGAAATAGAAAATGATGCATACCTCGATAAGCTTATCAGTCAAAGCAGTACACTCTCTAGCGACCTCATGATGGCCTTGGTAGGTCGAATTCTTCCACAAACCTCCAAAGCCTATGCTACTCAATACTCTATCCAACGCATCGGTGTTCTCCATCGCGGCTGAGAACTGAGGATTTGAGGTAATGGTACGTAACAATTGATGTGCAGATTCGAGCGTTGTCGAATTCTGGCAAGATATAAGAACATCATCTAGTATGTTCGTGATTGGGCCGGAGCTTCATGAGGTTAGCATTGATCTTGATGCGGCAGGGTATGAGAAGATGACTTACAGGCGTAGCATGACGTTTGATGATGATATGGCAAGCTTATTGAGCCATTGCAATGCGCGATTTTGAATGATATCATCTAAATAGTGAAAGTCGACTAAACCAATGGCGCAAGTAAGGAGCAATTCTCTCTCGTTGAGACCCGCAATTTGTGCTATACTGTCCATATCTGACTCTGAATATGGGGTGTTTTCTCCCTGAGTAGCAGTAGCAAGCCATAAACTATGCCCTGCATCTTCTGGATTGAGCGCTCGGGCCAATAGAAGACCAAGATATGGTATGCAACTAATATCTCGTGGAAACGAGATTCCATCAGGCGCATTAGTGATGGTCGTGTCGAGGAATGTTGATATTACACGCATAGCAGTAGATCTCGTTAATGAATCCGTCATACCTTTTACCATGCAAGCAGAAACTGCGAAATGGAAGTTTTCTGCAGTGAAATGAATCCCATATATTTCATCCAGTTGTATTGCCGCTTCATCAAGTGGCGCTCTGCCTTGCAATAATGTCGAGATCATGCGCCCATTGCTGAGTTCACCGGAAGCTCCAATGTTGAGTAGGACGGCATCTAGAAACATCGCCGCGCAATTGAAAAGTCCAATTGGTACCAAGCGCACAAGGGATAACGCAAGCCAGAATAGTTGGGTTCCATAACGTGATGCCGAGGGTAGTTTATCCATCATCTTGGTGAGAGCTGTGACTATAGCAACCATCATTTCACTGTCGCTATCTTCCATATATCGACCGATGCTGCTTCTAAGTGCTACCAGCACTTGATAAAGTAGGTCGTCATCGACATCTTCCCGAGCCAAACAGCCCATAACAGTAAACGCCCTGGGTTGTATGGCTGGATTACTCTGGAAAGCAGTGCTTGCCACCAAACTCATCCACCTGGCACGCCATGCGTTTGACAAATCAACTGTTGGAGCCGCTACGATACTTATATCGGAGAGAAGGCCAGCAAGAGACTCCGTGGCTAATAATGCTGAGGGACCCGAGTCTTGTGATGAAGGAAGAGAAGCACCGTCTCTTGAAAGTATGCTGAACGGAGACTCTTGACGAGGCTCCGATATTGACGATAGCATAACCTTTAATCGAGCAAGCTTGCTTTCTTCCAACACAAATGTGGTGCACATAGCATGGATAGTATTGACAAGTAAGCGATGAACAATTAATCTCAAGTCGGACGAGCCTGTATTAGCCAGCATGGTGACAAGATGGAAGACTTCAGGGAGATACAATTGCGACTGGACACCGCTATCGAACGAAACAGACAAGGTGAGTCTTAAAAGAACACAAATCTCACCCCAAACTGTGTTTTCATGAAGATGCCTTGTTGGTCGGAGTGAGGTACGATTGAGAGCCTTTCGAAGCCTTGAGATTAGTTTTCCACGTATCGTAATTGTGTCGAGTGAGGCAAGAATGGAACCCAGAATCTCTGTCCGTTCATCATCGATACCAAAATTAAGAGCTGGTTTGAGAATCTCCTCTAGGAATATATCCATATACACTTCGTCCTTGCAAATTGCTGGCCAGATGCTTTGTTCCAGGGTAATGCTAAGAACAACGTCGGATATGGCGACTTCAATAAGCTTTCTGAAGATAACAGCGACTTTGTCTCTTCCCTTATCGCCATCAGCTTCATTGGGTATTAGATGAGTTCTCAAACTTGGTAGCCAAGGCGCCATATACGCTAAGCTTAAAGGTCTCTGCGAGTATGGGAAACTTTCCCATCCAACGAAAAATTCATTGAGAAAGTCTCCTGTGAGCTGAGGCTCTGAGCGAGCCAATTGCGCACTGATTTCAACAATAAATTGTGATGGGTTCAAAGGAACACATAATTCTGGAGTTCATTAGCAATAATCTACGTTCTGGGAGCAGTATTTTATACCCTTTGTACTCATGAATTTAGAATCAGCTGCGAACTTAAACGCTCGACAGAGAGCACACAACAAGTTGTAGGATGCAAGCCGCAGAACCGCGTTAGGGCTCGCCATGTTAGTGAGGGCAATATTGAGGAGTGTTCCTGGTACATCTTGCGGTCTGACCAATCTCTCAATTGACTTCAAGGTCCTCAATTCTTTTCCATGCTTAGTCTTAGCACTGCGAATAGCTTGTAAAATATCGCTCTTTCTCGGACTAGTGAAGTACATTACAATCTTGCCGTTGTCAGTCCGTAAACCAAATGCAGAGTCATCCTCGGTCTGTATTGAGGTGGGTGCCTCATCGACCTCTGCTAAGCGGAAAATATCGTTGACTGTAGCATGCAGTCTAAGGCCTGGAACAACTTCTTGTTTCTTCGTTGTTGTCACCTGAACAAATTGATTACCTATTTTGATTATCACTTCTACCTTGCCTTTCGTTTTAGACAATCTTATGATTGGCTGGAAGACGTATCTCGTGTCTGTGACAACGCTTATAGTCTCTTTAGGTAGATGAAGCTGTGTAAGATGGAAATGAGATTGTAAGTCTTGAAGACTACCAATCAGGTGATAGTCAACGTTCTTCGGATGGAAGGCGCTATTTTCGCTCTTTGCAGATAGCCGGAGAATGCGTCGAAAACATTTCCTATGCCTTTGTTAGCACTACTTCTCTCCAGACCCATTTGATACTCACCTAAATGCACTATTCATGTTGTAGACATATACCCTAGATAGTTGCTTTGAGAGCTCTGTTGGCGTAAGCAAATCAAGCCTTCGAAAAAGTGCATCCTGAGGCTCGTTTTGACCATTATAACAGGTTGCATCGATCAAGATACCAAATGGTTTATGCCACATGCGGCTTGCGATCTAGAAGATATCAGCAAAGGAAGGCGTCAGGAACATAGCGACTCTTACTAACCTTCAAGTACACATATAACAAGAGATCATAATCCGTTCCTTCTGTATCAATGTTTCGAAGTATAATACAAATCATCGAAAGTCCATCCTATTGGTGTAAGCTGATGAAGCATTTAACGTGATAATATTTGGGTACCTTGCTTTCACCACCATCATATACGGCCCTATTTGATACTACAGCTTCTGAACTTCGACCAGCATTTCTAAGCATGAAGTGTTGGAAGCGTGAATACGACGGTGGTGTATTTTGTGAAATCGCTGGCCTATTCCAGGACACATCCATTGGTGGTGGTCCGAGATTAGAGATGAGCGTTCGAAGGGCATCCAAAACTGGAGTATGACTCTTGGCACCATCAATAGGAGATCTCACAGAGAGTTGTCGTTCACGAAGAACAAGCTTTTGTCGAACATGGTCCCAGTGATCATACAAAAACCGATGCAAAGCTACGCAAGAGCCAAAATCGAAAGACTCGGACTCAGCAAGTGTTTCCCTAACATTGGGAGGTGCCTTTTGGTGTTAGCTTTCTTCTTCTACCCATAATGGATGAACTTACTGATATCTCCCGCAAGAATGTCGTTACACGGTATATATTTTGTGTCAAGAAATCGTTTAGAGGATACATGTAAGGCTCCTTTGCCCCGAAAAGGACGTTGTTGGCTAAATTTTGGACTACTTTTGCAATAAGGAGAAGACCCCGGCGCATTTCTTTCGATGGTGGGGACGCTATCAAGCCTTCTGCATCAGGGGCGACAATCGCTGGGCAAAAAAATCGTAGGAATATAAAGGCACCGACGGCAGTAAATTTTGCATCCGGAAACCTTCTCATCACGCAAGAAGAGATCTATACAATGTCAATAGTGCGATAATAGCGGAGCATGAATTGACATACAATGTTGCAGATTTTTCGGAAAGACACCGGAATACGCGATGCAGAGTTACATATATCATCGATGAAGACTTTTGTCACTACACGAAGCTGAAGAGCATTTTTCTGCAATTCCTCCGGGGAAGTTGTTCTAGCAGGATCAAGTTCAAGATCCAGGTCTTTTGAAGTAAGAACTAGACGCTCTAAGACTTTCTGTAGCGTCGCTTTCAGATACGCAGCGCCCTTCCATTTTGCATAGACTGACAGAAGCTTGGTGGCAACACAATTTCTTCTCAAAAGTTCAGCCTCATTTTCTATATGATATTAGTAATGCAAATACATCTTCGATTCCCAGGACGACTTGCCAGTTTCCTCCACTTCATGCTCGATGAGTGCTTCAAGCAGAGAAAAGCCCATGCCTCTGGAGTCGAAAATATTGAGAAGCGAGATGGTCATCTCATCCACCTCTGTACTCGGGCATGCATCGCAAAGTGCAATTGTAAGTGTCATGTCATTAACAAGTAGCTATCAATGGCTAATCAGTAATACATTCATTGGGATGAGACAGTTGTCAATACTAACTTCAAGAAGTTCATCATACTTTTGATTCACGGCTGCATCAGACAAATTGTTGAATTCGGTACCCTGAATCAAAATGTTGCAAAGAACTTTGACGAAAGCTGTTCTAACCTCAAGATCTTCATGATAGCCAATACCCAAGGAGTGTTTGAGGCCAACATCGATATTGGCGCTCAAAAGATTAGAAAGTGCAGATATTGCAAGTTCTGGACTACTCATAGAATCATCACTCACAGCAGATGTGAGCCGCACCTCATTCCTACCGATTTCTGCCGATTCGTGATTGAGGAGCGATAAAAACCTGTTGAAATATGTATGGAACATCTGTGACTTCAAGTCGCTTGTATCTGCATCGGATTGGCCTTCGGCTGGTTGCAGGGGAAGACGATATGTCAATTCTGCTAGCGCCTTCAAAGAAGCTCTGTCAAGATCTTTCTGGAGGCGAACAAGCTCATCAAGGCGATTTCCTACTAGATGAATACCAGTATCGGCATTTGGGGTTCCTGGGCGCGCGATCCATCCAAAAATCACTTCCAAAAGCTGATTACGAATACGCACGTCGTGCCTTAAATTCAAGAGCTCTTTCTTCTGCGTGAGAGTTTCACATAACTGACATATCTTAATTTTGACCCTCAACGCGCTTGCCCCTTCTGCTGAACCATTCAGGAACTTCGCAAAATTGAGTGCCAAGGCACCAATATCAACTGGCATTCCTGTACCTAATTCAGCTGGGCTTCCGAGCTTCTCAACGATACTCTTTAGTAGAGACGCTGCCTGTTCTGCAAAAACGATCCGAGATTCGACAGGGATTGCGTTGCTCCGCGGACTATCGAATAAAACATCCAGTTCTGTTTGGAGAGCCTCAAACAGAGGCATGTGTAATGGTTTGGCAAGATCACTAGAGAGGGCGTCTCTGGTGCCTTCACGTATCCTGAAGCTGTTGCTAGCTAATAATTGAACACTCTGCCGCATATATCGATTGAGCAAGGTTTCATCGTAGCTTTCCGCAGTTACTTTATCGATCCATCGCAAACTGGCAAGTGCCTGATCGTCAGGGGTGGAAAGAAGAGATCGGCCTGCGATACAAATGCCACCAAGAGAAGCAAGGAATCCAGAACAATTGCGCCACTCTCCCAAAGATTTTTCATCGAGAACCTCAGAGCGCGCGATAAGTTGCTTGGATAATCTAACCCATCGATCAAAGATAGTCTCCCATGCGTTGATGATGCCGGCAGTAGGATGTTGCATTTGACGCAAAAGACCTCTCGCTCGCTTCTGAAAAGCAACTATACCTGTAAATCTAAAGTCTTTTGAAGAAAGCTCTTGGTAAACTTCCATATTACGCGCACTTGCCAATGATAGCTTGTTGAAGTCCGGTGCGGATTCAACAAGACGAATCTCTTCTGCGAATAGAGAGATGCTTGACGCGACCAGCTGGCAAACTGCTATATCAGGCGAGCAGAGTGTAACTAAAAATGATGTTTCCATCATAGAATATGCTGCTAACCGTTCCGAAACATCTTCTTCCAGCTCAGTCAAGTCCTATCACATGTGAGTAGTTGCAGGCGAAGGTGATACGGCACCGGCACCGGCATTGCGTAACTGATCGCACACCCTTTTGAGGGTTGACTATTCGAGCGCGAGGCATCCAATAAAAGATGTTGAAATTACTCACTTTGATCTTTTTCAATAAATCGAGTCTTCCTTGCAAATAGCTATGCACGAAGGCAAGAGCATTGTGTTCATCAATAGTTTGGTTTATGATTTTGCTTGAAACTGAGCTGAGTATGACGGAGCTATAGCAATGCATCAGCAAGGTCAAGCCAGATTGTCCGGTAACATATGTCCAAAAACTTACGTTGATTCCCAGAAGTTAAACTTCGCGATATTCGTGAATTGAAAATCATGCTTTCGCCAGGCATACATTGTTGCTGCAGACAGTGAATCGCGGCAGACCTCACTTGTCAAAATTCTAATTTTCTCATCTTCGGAGGTCAAAAAAGCCAAAAAGGCAGCATAGATGTCCTCAAAAATGGTGTCAGCAGTCGGTGAGCCCATGTCGAGGCCAACAAACATAGCCATAGGATATGCGTGCAAGAATATTAACATGCTGTATACCACTTCTCCGGACAATGCAAATTTCGTTTGTCTATTCATGGTCAGATGTTCGATTGGGTAGGAGTCTCTGAATCTCAGCGTTGTTCCCTTCTGGAGAATTAGCTACGCATCTCAAGTGTCACAAACGCGCCATACCTTCATGTAAGTGCGAATGAATTCAGACATCTTAGCAAACAACGGCTTGTAGTCATTAACATTAGATTGCTTGGCGAAGTGCGTGCATGCTCTTATTGCAGCAAGTTTGAAATCTGGAGATGTATTGGGAGCAAGACAGAACGGTGCAAGATTATCAACGCAAGTTTTAAAATTTAGATGCGCCAAGCTGACAAATGCTGCTGTCATTAACCCAGAGTCTATGGTTGTGTTTTCTGCACCCACGGTATATCTCCTGAATACTGCTTCACGCACTTCTTCCTGGACATCTAAGGCATAGCTCAGAAGTGCTGAATCACTATCGAGGGGAAAATGTCTTGCAACTCGCAAAACAGACGTCAAACAATAAATGGCTGCTTCATTCCTGTTTCTCAAAGTCTTCCTCAGCATCTCCAAAAACGATACCTTCTTAGAGATACTGCTACTTTTGATATCTCTCATGTTGCTAGCGACTTCAAAAACGTCTGGGAGAAGGAATAACAAAGACGTTTGAAATGGAAATAATAATGTTTTTCGTCTTCCCGCATCTATCATGCTATTCGTCATATCAAAGAGAGTTTCCGCTCCACCGTCTAACCTTTTGTGCATTGTGTGTAGTTCAATGAATTCCTCAGGGTTTCGCTCCAGCCATCGGGTGATTAACTGAGGTACGACTACTGCCACTATAGTCTGAAAGGCCTTGCGGAGGTGCAAGAAGCTGCCGCACAGTTCTTGTATGACAACTCCTAGTTTTCGACTATCGACCCAAAACGACGGAATCAAGCGCACAGTGACAAGTGCCTCATCGTCGACTATGGAACCGTTTTGCGCTTGGTTTCCATTTGAGGATTGGGCCGCAAGTAGTCCACGGAGGGAGCCGCGCAAATACTCCAAAGTCCGCGGCCAATTGGAGAAGGAAACAAACTCCACAACTTTCCTTATGCATGCCTCTGTGGATTCCGAATGTTCTTGTATCAATATTGTAGCCTCGATTCCATTTTGTTGGTTATTTGTGCCGTTCAAAGAATCCACACCTGAAGAGTTCTGAGCAGGAGGGGCCCCAAGAACATCGTCTAGGATGTTAGACGCCGGAAGCACATAGCCCTCTGGTATAGGATTTGAGAACAGCTTGATCACATCTAACAATCTCTTTGCCAAATCGTCGTCTAAAGCTTCTGGGGGTTTATCGCGCGCCAAAAGTCTGTTTCTGGATGCCCTTCGTCCTTCAGGTTTTGTGCTATCGTCGGACCTGTAACCCTGAGAGAGTAGATCTTCTCGATAGCTAGCATTTTGTGAAGCATTGATGCTTTCCCAGTGGGTTGTACAGCATTCCGCTAGCAGCTCAAGCACGTAAAATTCCGAATGTAAAACATGCAATGGATGCGCCGATATCGTTTTGTACGGTCTTGCAAGTTCTTCCAACAATTGCACAAGGGCTTCGGCGACGACCGCAATAGATGGTTTACTAATATTGACGAGGGTAGTCCGACTCAAGAGGGCAATCTCATCGCGAAGGAGGTGGTGTGCATCTGCGCCAGTTCTATGTGGAAGCTGTGTGTAAACAAACTATATGTTAGCTAACTGCGACACGTAGAGGAATGCGACTGCGACTGAGGGTTATACTTTTGTAATCAGCCTCTCCACCAAAGTAATGACGAGATTTGAGTTATCACTCATGACTTGTCGCGGGCGGCGTTGGCAACTACGCCAGACCACTCAGTGATTGTCCGACATAGGCTTCAAGCATGCGCGATCGTCGCTCGTCGGAGAAGCTCAGTGGAGCTAGGGGTGTATAAGTAAGGATAAGGATAACCTATTTACAATTTGCCTAGACCGGAGGGGAAGAAACAGGTTCGCAGCAATTAAATTGTAGAAGCACCGCGAGCATGACACTTGATTTGAGAATTTTAGGAACTAAAGGCTCAGATATTATGAGGGATATCTGAAGTAGCTTGGACTCTATTTAGTTGTAGGTTTCTCTGGTTTGGTTCCTCGGGCGCGCACCTCACACACGTGTAGTCATGGATGAACAAGTCGCTGGAGTGGAGAAAACATTGGGGATGGGGACTTTTTTCCGGTTTGGTCTCGGCAACTAAGGTTAATTAACAAATGAGTGTGAGACTGCCAGTGAATGGGTGAGTAAATGCTAGCGGTCGTGTGTTTCGCACGACTTGCTCATAATTAGGAGTGATTGGAAGGATTGCAGAGGACAAATCGCAATTCGTTATCTTCAGAGTATAATCTAATAAGGTTGACTTCTGAAAATGTTTTTCTTTGCATCAATGCATTCATTTTGTGATAGTTGATATCCCTACTGCGCAAGATGCCTGCCTACCTAGGAAGGCAAGGGAGGCAAGGAAGGCCAAAAAGTACGGGGAATGTTTACTCAATTTATCTGCTTCCGCCATCCATCTGTAAAAGAAATGTCTTGCATATAAGAATCATTCCAAATGTGTTTCATGATGTTTTGTTGTATTTATATGAGACAATTTGAGGGGAGACGCTAATTTATTACCAAGGTTTACCCTAATATCGTCAGATCGAGCTTCACACAAATTGGCTTGGTTGTTACATCGATTTATTCCTGAAGATTAAAGTGCTAATACCAGAGCTCGTTGATGCATACTCCATACAATCTATATATATACTTGACTACAATAACGTGCTCCTGTTGGATAATACGTATTCGGATCATGGTGATGCTCCGCGCAAACAAAATGTTTTCAAAGCACGGCATCGACATTTGCATATAGTTCCTGAGAACAATAACCACCCAACAAGGATTTTCTTGTTAATGCCATCCCAATCCTATAATTATGCCCTGTTGTGATGATACAAGAATGCAATGTGAGACATGTGTGAGATTTGATGAATGGACTCAGGTATTATATAGATATATGTCATCTTTCAATGGTAAATTCGCAGATATCGGCAAAGCCATCTATCTAACGTCGTCCACCATAGTTGTTGTAGTTGTTGTAACCACCTCCATATCCAGGTGGCGGTGGAGGATACGCACCGTACGATCCAGGGGGCGGTGGAGGAGGCCCACCGTATGATCCTGGTGGGGGAGGCTGCCAGCCTGGTGGAGGTGGTGGTTGACTGTAATTGTTGTAGTTGTTCTGAGAGCTGTGAGATTGATTATTGTACCTAGGTGCTGTTGTTCCTGGACCATTATAGCGACTGCCATTGCCGCGATTGTTATTACCAGAACCATAGTTGAATTGGTTACGACCCCTACCATCACCTTGTAATGGCACTCCGCCATAATTTCGACCTGATCTAGACGCCCTGCTTTTTGTCATTTCGATATCGCTTTGATTAAGTGCCGGTTGGCCAAAATCAACTCCGACTAATAACATAGACTTGTGAATATGGTTAGATTTGGGCATTTCGTAATGTACACTAGACAAACTGTAAGTAAGATACGGTCAGAATGTTGATGTATATTTACCGTATTGATCGATCCTCGTCAAGACCTGGCATAGCTCCACTCTCCAGTGGAAAAACCAAAGAGCTATAAGGGAGATAATCCTCATTCTTCTCAACTCGTCCAGTCAAACCTTCACTGACCTTGGGATTTAACTTCATATGAGGTGAGCCTTGTTTCTTTGAATAGAATTTGCTGGTAATCTCGTCGTAAAGAGCATGATGGGATTCTGACACTAAAAGAACGTCTTTTCCAAGGCCATTGCGAGCTGAAACATCCACTGGTAATGTGGGGTATACCTTAGCCATTGCATCGAGCAATCGCTCCGAGTCAATGAATGGCAATAGAGCAACACCTTGCCAAGCGAACTTCTTACCGTTCAAATCAACTATAAAATCCTCTGGATAGAAATCGATAATTTCACTGTCTTCATTGGTCATCAGATGGTGAAACTGTTCTGGAATAGCTTGTCTTGAAGCCGCTGGAAGGACTCCCATAAGTTGTTCAAATGGCCTGAAGATTCTGCCTTTCTGAAAATTGATCTTCATATCCTTGAGATTTGCAAAATCCGCGGCGAAAGGGGCATAATGGTACGGATAATACCAATCCCAAGACGGACATCCTTGGAAATAGTATAGCAAAACCCATGCCAATCCTTCGACATAGGCTTTACCAACCTGATGGCGAAACTCAATGTCTTTAGGATCTCGGTTGAACTTCTGTTCATAGTATCTATCAGCGTAACCATCTTCCCATAGTCTAACGGTGTCAGGAGGAAGGTCATCGCCAGGTGTTGTCGGGGTTCCTGGTGTCCCTGGAATGGGGGAGTTACGTCCTGGCGTACTGCTGTCATCATCCTCAATGAGCTCTGCTTTACGTTTTCCCAGTGCAGTTGCTGGTAATTCCGCCGAGGTGTCATCGGCTCTAGGCTCACCGTTATCATCATCAGTTGACTTGCCATTCATCATCTCCTTCAGTGCTGCAGCGGCGCTCTTGTTGGCTATACTAGCCTTGTAAGCTGCACCTCGGTTCATTACCATATCATGGGATATAGCCTTGGCTTCCTTGTTGGCCATACCAGGAGTGAAGAGTGGTAAGCCAGTCGGAGCAGCTCCACCAGGAGGCTGTCTACCGTTAGATGGAGAATCCTGAGCACCGGCGTTGTTTCCACGGCCACGGCCATACCGTTCGTTTCGCTCATTGTTGAGCTTACGCTTCTTCTGGAAGTTCTCTTCTGCCTTTCTTCTTCGCCTGAAGATGGCATCTTCTTGCTTAGCTAGACCATCAAGGATGAACTGAGCTCTTTCAAGGTCAACATGACCATCTTTAGTCAAATAACCACCCATGTAGGGAATATTATCACGCCAGATGGCAATCAAGGTATTAATACCATCCTCTCGAATCTCGAGACTAGGAAGATGAGGTAAGAAATCATTGCCGACAAAGAAACACATAAAAACCCAGTCGTCAAGAGCCCTTTCAAGATCAAATCTAAAAGGTTGGCTAGGAACATACATCTCTGCTGCCAAGTATTCACGAAGGATAGAGACGTGTAGCCAAATAAATGGTTTGAGCGTAGGGGCGCTAGCCTTTTCATCAAACTCACCATCCTTTATCTTGTACATGCCTTTGCATTCTCGGGCTTCATGGCCATGTTGGCCGCACAGTTTGCAGGTTCGTGGCTTTCCATCATTAAAGAACACATCTTCTCTTAGAATACGAAAATGAGGTTCATGCGTTGCTAGACCCAGCATGATCAAGTCGGCGTCTAATCCATACATGACATGTCGGGTGTTAGGATCATGATCGGGAGAAGATCTTTGGGATCTGACAAATTCCATGATTTTGTGTTCACCCTCTCCTGGAACAGTTGAATCTGAGATGATGACTTTCATCTTTGCCCAAGCAGGGTCAGTGTTGAGTTTATATGCAATCCAATATCTGAGACTAGCGGCCAATATGTCCATGAACGGAGTACCGGGAGTAATTTCGTTGGAATCCCAGGCTTTCTTGACTTCTGTCTCTTCGGCCTGTGTACCTTGTGATTTCAGCATCTTAAGCAACTCTGCCTTATCCTCCGCCTTCTCCTTTGCCTCTTGCGCCGCACGAAATCGACGGGATCGTTGTTGATTCATCTTAGCACGTGGTGCTACTCCATCAATAGCAATCATCAACAATTTCCTGGGTCGCACCATATTAACTACTCGATCCGTGTACTTGAAGATTTCCAACATCATTTCCTCCTCATCTTTGGGTGGAGGGCGATCTTCTGGATGACCTAAAATTGTGTATTAGCATATTTCAAAAAATGATGAATCAACTATCTGGAGTATTGCGATAAACATACTACATGGGTGAACGATTCCATTCATGTCCAAATATAGGTTGTCGCATTCCTCCCCATTTGGATTGGGTCCTCTAATATCAATTGGGATGATTTGGCCATCGATTTCGCGCGGTTGTTCTTCAATGACAGGAGACACAATCTTGGGATATTGCTTGGTCTACATGGTCAAACAACGTTGTTAGCAAAATGAAGAACGATGAAGGTTAAAAATCGAAACTTACCAGCCATCTGAACAATGCTGGGACTCCCATGGTGAAGAATTTATCTGTGATTTATTTCTGGCAGATAGGTGATCAAGTAAGAGAAATGTCTTCAAAACAAGGCACCAGGTAGAGCTGGAGAGGTTCGAATGAATGGTTCTGCGCTGGTCCGATCTACTTATCAGGTTTCCAAAAGAATAAAATCGCAAGACCACTCTTGCGTGTATCCAGGGTGAAAAATATGAATGGTCGGATATCGCTAAGATGCAGAAAAAAAAATGCTTTCATGAAAGCTCCTGTCTATTGTACATTCAAGGTTGAAAGAAATAGAGAACAAAGCAGTGAAAAGATGCCGCCGCAATTCATGGTATGGTAGGGTAGCAAACTGGGGACGGAATTTTGATTCACCGACATAGTTCTAACGCTCAAGAAACGCTAGTCTGCATTTGCATGCATGCACTTCTAGTCTGGAGAAGCTCTAAAATAAAGAGTTAAATCATGAATCTGCCAGATTTTGAAGTTAGATATACCTCGTGGTGAATAAGGTATGTATAAGAAGTGACACTATGCTACTGGATCTCGAATTCTCAAATTATCCTTCAATGTTCAATGTACAAATAGAGATCAGAGAATCATAACGAAGAAGGGGAAACTTGGGTCTTACCAAGAACACCTTTCATATCCTACTTGAGGAAATGTCAAAAGTTGGGGAGACTATTTCTGTAAGTAGACTTACATTATGTCCTTGGGGTTCCCCTTGATATTCTGCACCCTCGTCTTACTACAAGGCTAATACGGAACTCGCCAGGTCTACGCTTCTCGACTTACATCCTCCACCCTTCTAGAAGACCGGCGAGCAGCATGTTTAGGCCTTCGCAGTTTCGCAAAAGACTATCCTGCATCTGTGGCATCTGAGGCTCTACGAGGACTAATTGCAAGCCTACGCAAAGATGGAGAGGATGTTGACTCCATCAAAGTCGTCCTCGAGACTCTTCTATTCCTTTTCAATCCGAACCAGAACAGTGCTGAAGCATCAGAGGAACTTGCATATTTCATAGCGGACGAATTCACCACACGGCAAGATAATATTACATTACTTTTGGATTTTCTGGATACCAATGATTTCTATTCGCGTCTATATTCGTTGCAACTCCTATCGGTAATTCTGTCGTCTCGAACGGAGAGAACTGAAGAATGTATATTCACGGCACCTTTGGGTATATCAAGACTCGTGGCTATATTAGATGATCGGAGGGAGGTAATAAGAAATGAAGGGCTTTCCCTGTTGACCTACTTGACGCCAAGCTCCTCGGAATTGCAAAAACTGGTCGCCTTCGAGAACGCTTTTGATCGCATTTTCAATATAATAAAGCTCGAAGGCTCTCTTCTGGACGGCGATAGAATAGTAGAAGATTGTTTGATCCTTCTCGCGAACCTTTTGCGGCTCAACGTTTCGAATCAGTCTTTCTTCCGCGAGACAGGCTGTATTCCTAAACTATCGAAGCTATTGAATGATGCATTAGGTGCTGGGAATGAGGTCGAGGAGGTTGCCGAATGGGCTAAAGCTCAGCGAAATAGAAACATATACGCTCTACTTGCAGTACTACGGCTGTTTCTAATAACAGGAGGAGCAGGAACCCAAGCAAACCAGGCTTCTTTTGCGCAACATGGTATTCTTAGTCAAGTATTACAATTAGCATTCAGTCGATATACGGAAGTTCAGATAAAAGCTGAGGTATGCAACCATTGCCCATATAACGGTTTGTGTATTGATTGCCAGGTATAGGCTCTCTCAACGTGCGCGGATATGATCCGAGGCAATCCAGCCCTTCAAGAGAATTTCGCTCAACAACAAGTTACCTCGGTGCTTGATGAACCTTTAGCCGATAGTAATGGTCAACCTGAACGCCATGTTATCCCAAAGGTCTACGTAATTGATGGCTTACTTGATTTGACATTGAGTATACCTACGTTGTCAGCTTTCGATTCCCGCGCTGCTGCTTGTGAATGTATAAAGGCTTATTTTTACAATCACCCAGCCATTCGCAAACATTTTCTCCGCCGAGCCATAGATGGTCATGTTTCCGGGGCCGATGAGACAGCGAATGTGTTGACAACACTTCTTCAACCTCTGGACAGTCATATATCAAGCGATCCGTACCGTTACTGGTTTGCCTCTGTTCTTCTGTTCCATTTAATATTCGAAGATGCTGAGGCGAAAAGTATGGCGATGGGCGTCGCCGAGGGCGATGCTGAAAATGGAGAGGAGGTAATAACTTGTATTCAGTCTATCACTGCCAATTTAGTACTTGGTGTTCACAAAGCTGTGGACGAACGCGTCTTGGTTGCTTATCTCATGCTTCTTTGTGGGTGGCTATTTGAGGACCCAGATGCTGTAAATGACTTCCTGGGCGAGGGCAGTAATATCCAAAGCCTGATCCAAGCCACGCTATACACGGGCGGTGATGGTGTAATGGTACAAGGCCTCTGCGCTGTCCTACTTGGAATTGTATATGAGTTCTCCACCAAAGACTCTCCAGTTCCCCGAGCAACCATCCATCCAATTCTTAACTCAAAGCTAGGTAGAGATCAATATATAGATCGACTTACCAAGCTAAGGGCCCACCCACTACTGCGAGACTTCGAGGTTCTTCCACAGAAGCTCAGCTCTGCTTCGCCTGGTGGCCTGCCTGATGTGTTTTTCGACAAATCATTTGTGGACTTCATGAAAGACAATTTTAGTCGTTTATTACGTGCCATCGACCGAGATCCTGGATTCGAGGTTGCAGTTATCGCAAATGGCGTCCAAAAGGGAATTTCCAGAGAGATGGTAGACACTTTAAGATCTGAGCTTGATGAGAAGAGCAAAGCTTTGCTGAAGGCGGAAGAGGAGCTAGTAATTCTTGGGGGGCAGCTAGGACAGGAACAAGCCGACCATCGCAGAGCCAAAGAGACCGCGGTAGTAGAAGTTTCAAGGATTAAAAACGTTAACGAGGCCCTTCAGAAGCACCATGAAGAAGATATGAGGTACGTATAACTCTGTCAGGTTGTATTTCTAGGACTAACAACCAGAAGAAAATTACGTACGGAGCATGATCGGGCAACTCAAGATTATCAGCGACAGTTAAAAGAAATCCAAAAAGCAGCCGAAGTTGATGTTGAACTTGTTCGAGCGGAAAATGATCGTACAAAACAAGATCTTCAGCGGCGGCTAGAACAAGCTCAGAAGGTAGCGGAAGCTAATGCTGAACGTGTACGGGATGAACATGATCGGGCAGTTCAAGACTATCAAAGACAACTGGAACATGTTCAAAAGACTGCAGAGGCTAATGCTGAACGTGTGCGGCGGCGAACAGATGCAGAAATCACAGATCTTCAGAGTAAAATTGAGCGATTAGAAGCAGATCTTGCAATGGTATGTTGTCATATATTTTGTCACTACTTCTCACTGACATGGTATAGTCAAACAAGAACCACGTCCAGGATCTGCAAACTGCGCACGATGAATACATGGCAAATAAGGCTGACCAAGATGCACGCTTGAAACTTGCGGAAGAGAAAGCTAAAGAATTGGAGCAGAAAGTCACCGCCGCGCACGACAAAATCGCTAAGGTGGAAGCGGATTTGGTAGACAAGGAGACTGCAAGACAGGCTGCCCAAAGTGAACTTGATGACCTACTTATGGTTTTTGGCGACCTAGAGGAGAAAGTGATAAAGTATAAAGAACGTTTAAAGGCCCTCGGAGAGAACGTCTCGGATGATGAGGATGAAGATGACGATGACGGCGACGGCGACGAAGGAGAAAATGAGTCTGGCGTGGATTGAATAAAGAATACACTTTTTCCCATCTTCAAGGGACAGCAAGCATTGCAGAGGCGTATATATTATCAATCCCACATCGAATGCGGCCGACCTTCTGGTATTGAGGAGCTTGAAAGACTTGAAATATAATGATGTGCTGTAGGATATAAGAAACAATCTTAAACCATTGGCCATTTCTTGAAACAATTCCACGAACAATTTTGATTTCTTGTTGAAGCTAAATTTCTGAATATTTTACATCCATTGAATAGCACAGTGTTAACAAAAGATACTCTCCAACACAGGGAGATTCGTACCTAGTAATCTAAGCATATGAGATGAGAATAATTCTGTCTGCGTAGAGAATTCACCTCGTGTCAATGCGTGGATTGTTCTACTGTCGGAATATGTGATTTTGAGACTTCCTAGTACCTATAGACTTGTCTTTGGGTGTGTTTTGAAGGAAATTAAGTGATGTACAGTGGCTAATGTCTTTGTTTTGCTTTCATACAGGTGCGAACACGCTAAAAATTTGTCAGAACCTTTGAAAGAGGCATCACTAGAAGCCTAAAACCGCGAAGCCCTTACTTTACGCGTTCGAAATTATAGCACCACGAAACCCCCACAATCCCACCACCGCACCCACATCCACATCCACATCCAGATGTCGCCAGGATGTTGAGCTCTCCATCCTCATTTTACACGGCTTTAGATGCGCCGTCTTCACCCTGCGCTCCCTCAATGGCAGGTAGTACAAATGAAGCTCAACATCTTTTGCAGAATCTGCATTATCTGCAATCAGATCAAATTTCTAGTGAAATCGAGAGCCATGTCACAGTATATTTCGATGTCCAGATGTGTATGTAATTTTGTCCCTCATGATCTATGTTGGAAGACTAATTGCATATTTATTAGACACCCATGCCCTCACCATGCTTTTGGACATCCTCACTTCTGGCATATCACATTCAACCGTAACCTCAAAGACTGCCTGTCTGCCCATCCCCAAATATCTACGAATAGCCAGTACCTTGCTTGTACATCCAAGCTCTACAACTCGAGTCAAGAATGAGAATTTGGTCGAGGTAGCCTCCCGTTCTATTACTCTTCTGCGAAGTGTCCTTGCCGAAGTTGGCCCAAGGAATGCCAATCTTGAGAGGGCATTTTCCTTTGATTCAGGCAGCAGATACACCAGACGGAGTTCTCGAGATAGTGGCTCTAACAGTGAAGGTGACGACGATATAAAAGGGCCAGTATCTCAAAATGGACTGTGGAGATGCGCTAAGGACTTTTGGCAGATCGTGGGCTGGTCATTTAACTGCAGTGTTAGGTATCCAAAGCGGTGGAGCTACTGGAAGGTTCTTTTGGAGTATTTGTTAGATGTGCTGGATGCAGATTGGTACGAACGGAAGGCTTTGGACGATGCAGCATTCAACGCTAAAGTTGGCCAAGCCCAAGGGGCTGCGGAGCTCTCTCCTGGTAATGAATTAGTGCAAGATTCGTTACTTGTACACTACCTGGGCGGATCCTGCGATAATCTCAATGGCACTGCCGTGAGACGGATTGTTAAGGCAGCCTTTGCAGACGGTTCTGTGCAATCCCTGAAAGCATATCCGGAGATTTTTGAGAACGAGACCAAAGACATCAGGAAAACCGTGGCGCAAAAGAGAAAATGGGATGAAAGTAAAAATGTCAAGGAAATCTCTAACGATTACGATGATGAGGAAGAAGAAGATCTCGCTTCCGATACATCAGAGGGTTCCGAGGAATCGTCTCAAAGGCCAAGTAAGAAAGGAATTCCTACATACTCTTCTACTATAGGTGACCCGGACTCTATCCGCTTGCGCCAGCGAGTCATAACTTTGGTAAATAGAACCCCACCTGTCTTTAACGTTCCACGTTAATTTTGCAGCTATCCCGCCTATCCGTGTTCCTCCCGCTAAAGTTCATGCCCGTCGGCGATCTTTACGGTCTCTTCGCAGAGTTCACCGCAGCGCTTCCTATCGCATCATTTTCACTTCTCCTCAATATCTCACGGACATCACCATTTCCTTCCGAGGTACTAGTCTCGCTCATACAACGATTATGCCGCACCTATCTCCCAAAGTCTACACCCAATCCTAGCGACTTTGAGGATTCTACGAATGATCTTCTCAACCAAGAAATTCTCGAAACCTGTTTTCTACCATGGTGTCCTATGACTTCATCTGTTGAGGATAATGCCAAATATTCAATTTTGGTGGAATATTTGTTTCGCCTGTTTTTGACTGGTTGTGAAGCAAGTCATACACCCAACTTAGACGATGCGGTTGAAAGGGGTATTAGCGCAAGGGAGAAGAAATGCAAGACGGATGGCAGGCGTAAAGCAGGTGCAATAAAGAAGGAGGAGGAAGTAGCGAAAATCTTTCTAGATGCAAGTTCAAGGAGATTGAGAACTTTAGTAGATTGGGTGCAAGAATGCAGTTCCTAACAGGGATATTGATATCATACAGGAGTCGGGACCGGAAGCACTGGATTGGGTTTTATGATGGTAAGCAGTTCATTGTTTATTGGAGTTATCTGATGATACCATTTGCTGTCGAGAAGGCTATTAAGGGGAAATGTAAATCAATTTCAATACATACATACTGTAGCTCATCAGTTTCATAGTCAGGATATGGTACTTTAAGCAGTATTACTCGTCACAGAACTACCCAGCCTCTGGTAGGAATACTTGCACTGTTCATAGAACAAGAAAAAAAAGAAGTGAGCGAGATTTACTTCTGCTTAATGGAGGGCCTCAAATTACTATAACATTAATACATTATCTCCGAGATACTGGCATGTCATTCGGATCCCAAGCCTTAGGTTGCCATTCTTCACTTGGCCCCCCTCTTGCCTTTTTCCACGGATCTTCCTTATATTTCTTTTCCTCCCTCGGTAGGGTCTCCGCATCATGCCGTGTTTTACTCCCAGCTGGCTTCTTCACAAAAGCCATTCCCTCTTTCTCTACCTCCTCGCGCTCTCCTCCCACAGCATTCGCCATACTTTGCCCATCTTCCCTCGGTTCCACCACCGAAAACGCACCTCCATTCCCAACTTGCGTAGCCGGCAACGCCTGTTGTGCCGCAGGCTTATCCAAAAAACTGGCTTTCGCATTCCATCTCTCATCCGCCTGTCTAGCGAGAATTTTCAGTCGTTCTTGTCTCGCTACATCCCCGAGCAATTCTTCCATACTTGGCGCATCAGCCCGTGTGTGTCTTAGCCATTGGTGCCATTGCGGACTGATTCTGACATCTGAATATTGGGTTGAAGATGGCGCTTGAACTATTCTGCGCATGCGGCCGGCATTTATAGCGTCGCGAAATTCCCAGAAAGAATTGTTTTGAAGGTCAAGACCTGGGAATGTCAGTTGAACTGTCTGCTGGGAAAGGGGGGTTGCAGTGGCGATGGTGGGAGAGCGTGGACGAACCGACAAAGAAGCGTTTTCGCCATGGGAGACGGAGTGATTTCCATCTATACCATGCTTTACGAATTGGTGATAGTTGTTGCGTAGACATTTCAATTGTGGTATTTTATATTGAATTGAGGTTAAGATTGATTTGTTTACTGAACTTGAAATGATGTATTGAACTTCTTCAGCCTTATGGGAATTAGAGCCCGAGGTTTAACCACTACCAATGAAAAGTCCCTCAAAACAAAATGTCCACCATCTACTCGAGGATGAGATTTATTAGCCCGTGGCGGCGAGTACTTTTATCTTATCTGCGCGCGCCACACATCTTATCTGACGCCACACCTCTCCCTTATCGGCAATGGTTTCAAGGAAACGGAGAAAAGTCCATCCTTCTACTCGAGTATTATTGCTGTACCCAGGTATGGTTTTGATCTTCTACATTCTCAAACCATAAATCCCACCACTCGACGTAAATACACTTCATCGCCGAATATCCTGAAATCTTCGGCTCAACCATACTGCATGGCATGTATATTGGCACTCGTGTCCTACTCAATCCATCGATAGCTCGAACATTGCATCCGGAAAGGCTTCGCGATCTCAACCTGTCACCACGGGCATTTTGAGCACAATATCTCCTATTGAATGGCCGGAAGAAAATGGAAGGAGCAGTGCAATCGAAGCTTATTAAATTCTCATACTCGATTATCAAGAGACCATGCATTTCAAATTCTCCATCATTGATGTTTGGCTTCAGATACGACAGATGTGTCGCTGACGCTGTTTTCAGAATTTCGCTCGCAGCTCGTAACTGCAAGTCACAATCCACTTCAATGATTAGTGATGTACTCAGACCTTCGAAGCATTAAAGTATTCGGATAAAACCATTCGGACAGAACTGTTCCCAACACCTGTGGCCGTGAACTCCGACCAAAAACTGATCTCTCCGATGGTGCTTCAATGACGTTGCATACGCATTTCGACATTAACGATTAACACTGATATTCCTGAACTGAATTATCAAATCATCCTCCGACGATCCCGAAATCCCCGATCATTCTATCAGCGGAACGGAGATAAATTTAATCTCTTCGTCTGTAGAACTGTAACGTTGTAATGAATGGAACATTTCGGAGGTAAATACGCTGTCGTCGACATGCAGCTGAAAATAGGCGTTCCAGACTGAATCGTCCGGAACTTATCTCGCGGAATCCCAGTGAGGAAGAATCCAGAAGATTACGGTATCAAGCTACGCGAACCGACGAACGCTTTCCCTTGGGAATTTTTAAATCCGAAAGTCTCGCGTAAGGCAATGAAGAGTGAGATTCCGATGTGGCTTGCTCAAGCTTCACCCATTCCAGTATGCCTGCGGTGCGTTGAGGAAATGATTTGAGTAGTAAAGCAGAAGCGAGGGCGAGATTACCGAATCTATATTATATGCCGTAAGGCTCTTCCAAATGCCTGGGAATCAACCTTTGTGTCAGGATGTACAGAGCAGGAAAATGGAGGATTGGTTCATTGGGGAAAGGAATGACGAAGTACAAATTGAAAATGAATGCTCAGGTGGCTGAACTTGATGTTTGGTTCATATCAGGACAATGAGGTTCGAAAAAGTACCAATGGAAATTTAGTGATAGGGAGATGGAAATTTGTTTTGAATTGATCTCACAATATTTAAACGTATTTGGAATCATCTTCGTGAAAATTGGCGGCGTGGTACATATGTAGATATCTAGCCAGTGTTACATTAATGCACTGTACACGCTATTCCGTGCATAAAATGATTTTCCTCACGCTGTGTAGCCAAACTTTCACGGCGATGCCGGTGAGAACCATATTTGGGAATCATCACGTTACCTCCGTCTGTCCAGCGTCTTTGGTTTTATAAGTGCGATATGCTGAGCCGTAGTTATGCGACGCAGCAAAAGGAAATGCTTAGAACCGATTGGGGCATAATTGTTTGATGCGGCACGATGCTGCTGGACCCTGCATACGGATTTTTTTTCGCTCATTCCGAAAATCAAGGGTTGTTCGAGGCTCAGTGGACGAAGAGGTTACAACAAACACAGTGGCTGTGCAACGTGCATTGAAACCCCCCACAAGAAAAATTTGGGAAATGCTAGATCAGCAGCATTGATCTTTCCCAGATCGATTTATGATCCTCGACACGCGGGCGGAGACTAGCGTTTTTGCGGGGAAGCTGTGGCTGTCACTCTCTCATTTGTCCATTTGCTATCCATCGCTATCCTTTTGCCAGTGGAGGTCAGCTTCTCATGGATGCTGTATCTGATTCCCACGTTATTTTGCGGTTTGCAAAAGTGCCTGCATTAGCATGACAAATGCCTGTTTACAAAATGTGCCCACGAAGTAGATGTCCTCATAGTACCAGACATTGCCAAGACGACACTCATTCTCCCTTCAAAATTTGAACAGCGAGCTTCGCCTAATGATAACCTTGGGTTACGAGTTCTTAGATGGCGGTCCACTACCAGTTAGGTCATTTACTCCGGCTTAGCAATATTCCAACTGCCATGTTCTTCTTCTCCGAGGACATGCGGACTTAAGCCAGCGACATGTTTGAAGTTTCGAATTAACTCAGCTAACTTCACTCGGCTATCGTAACTACCGTACCATGTGTCTATCATCCGATTTCTTTGTATCATAGAAAGATTCGAGTCGAGACCATCCATATGAGTCAGTTAGGTTGAGCAAAGCTGACGTGGTTCATGACTCCTTGGCGGAAACTGAGTAACCCAAGCTCGCCCAAGATGAGTCCTCTTCTGAATCGCATTTAGTAAATCTACTAAGATAACGTTGGTCGGAGTTACGGGTATGCGGGGAAGGATCCACAAAAGTGGCATCGTCGATATGAAAATAGAATTGTTACGAGTTCTTGAAGACTTGAATTACTAGCCACTACTAGCCATTACAAAGACCAAGCGCGGGGCGGAGGAGAAATGAATTTTCACGTGGACCATGATCAAATGATCAAGTCGGTCACAGCTATCTAGGTGGTACATGGTCGAAGTGCGGTATCAACAAAATCAAAAAGATGAGAAACCTGTAAGCCTCCAGTAGGTCCCTCAGCCACTATTTTCATTGGTAAGTGCTTTTGAAAGATTAGCGTACAGTTAGGCAGCGTTTCCGCTTATCTACCCATTAATCCAGAATTTTTATTTTCATCGTGTCCTCAAAGTAGTAATCAATAGACAATATCAATAGGAGGAAAAATGGGGAAGTTTGATGTTCATGGAAATCTGCATGGGATTGTTATCGAGATCTCCTTCAAGAATGGTAAAGAGCCCGTTCTGCATGGGGCAGACTAACGAGCGTAAGCAGTAGTCCAGGAATAGTGATCCCAAGAGAGTAACGGGATCCCCACTTAGATGTTCTACTCTATACTTCAAGGCTACAAGGTAAATCCGAGGAGATGAGAATGCCGGTACGACTAGTGTCAAATGGGGAATCGACATGGGCATTATGGAGATGGATCCGTGTAACCTCATGTACTCTGCACAGTACGGATACCGTATTACCGGTCGGAACCCTCCTAAAATCATGAAAGGAGAAATAATAAAAGTGGCTGAACCATTTGTATTTCCCGTGGTTTTCTCATCAGCTTGTAGAATGATACTCGAGTATGGTATACGTGTTGGAATGGGAAAAGTAAAGTCTTGGGATCTAGAGAGGAGCAACGGTATTCCCGAGAGAAGGATGACAAACCAACCAGTCAGCACCTTATGTGACAAACGGAGAATAGTTATTTTACAAGGATAGAGTCGTAAATAAATCGTTGGAACACTGCTTGTGGCTGTGTTCTGGAGAAATGGAACATCCGAGAACGGCGTAGACCATTCTTTGACCTTGGTGGTTTCTTTGTTAAAAAATGTTGAGGTGAGAAGCCTTACAAATCCAATTTTCAAATTTTTCATATTGGGTGATGTGGCTCGTACTTGAATTTGTGGCTTGTTACCAAGAGGAGTACGGAAACCCATAGTAATCTGCCAAATACCGAGTTCCCGACATGCGTCAGGGTTGCGCAGCTTAATTCTTTTTGTTCGTTAGCATATTTTATTTTTATTTATTATTTCATTTTGCTATTTCCTGATCATCATCCCTGCTCATGGTGCGTCATTCTAGCTGCATGGACCCTTGCATCCCGACTCGAAAAAGGAAAGCCATCGTCCACATCCTTTCTTTTCCTGCCAAACCTTTGGTCGGTCGCGGTCCTGGTCGCAAGCCCTACTCGCGTACCTAATACCAAAAGAGATGGAAAAAACATAATCTTCTGATGCTTGAATTGGAATCCCTGCGTAAGGGTAGGAGGGGCCGACCGATATCGTCACTCCATATTAAAAAAAACCTAAATGTGTGATGATAAAGATATATTGACCTATTGAATATATATCTATCTCTGGACGGAAGCCTCATATTGCATACCTCACTGTGTACACAGACAGACTACTTTCCTATTACAATCATAAACCTGTAGATCTTCGACTTTCTTGATCTTGGTCTCTTTAGTATTTATTCATTATTCATCATCCATTACATCTATCAATCATACCAATCATCATTTCAAGATAAAACTTTATATTAAGTTCAAGTTTCACTAGTCATCACCCCCCATTCCCTCCCAAAAACCACTCCATTATCAAAGCCCAAGGCCTCCTCCCAGATATAAGTCCGCGAGATCCCAAAACACAAATACCAAGATCCAAAATACGAAAATACCAAAAGACCTAAATACAAATACTCCCTCAGCATTGACTGAAAGAAATAATTCAATCTGCTGACCAAATGATCTGATTCCTACATTCGACAATTTATAAGTTTCTATCTACTCTTCTACATCATTCCAAAAGATACTATCAAGGACCTCCTTCATTCTTTCCCTCTTTTCCCGAGTACGAGTCACAGACAAGAAACCGAGGTAAGGTTTTCCCATATATTAACCTGGAAGATTCGCCACCCGACTTTAACTTTTAAAGTTTTTTTACTAAAAGCTTTCAACAGATCCCCAAAGCTATCCCACTATGCTAGCTTACAGTCCAGAATCGAGACGCCAAACAAGTCTATTACAACATCATTCACATCAACCATCTTATAATCCCGACGCATCCTTATCCTCTTCTACTACTAGTCAACAACTTCAACAATCCCAAACTTCATCGCAACCTCAGTCTTGGATTCCATCATCATCACTACCACTTACATCACAGTCAACGTTTCCCACAAACGGTCTTTCAAATAACATCAACTTCAATTTTGGCGCTGATCAGATTCTCTTCGACTTCCAACCACAACAGTACTCCTCAGGTCAACAAGTTCAGTCACGAACTTTTATGCAACCTATACAGTCGAATAGCAGCTGGATGTCTAACGGACAATTAACACCTACATCAACTTCAAGACGACATCGTCATCGAGAATCTTCGCTGTCGTCTTTAGGATCACCAGCTGCTCCTGCATCACCTTACGCACCGTCAACATCGAATCCTCAAGTAGTAGGTGATTTGTATAATGAGTTTCGGGACCGTCATTCCACCGCGCCGAAACCCTTGACACCTGCACATACACCGTTACAGGAGAATTTCCTCTCGCCTCAATTTACAAACTTTTATCAAAACCAGAATAATCTGGGCTTCACGATGCTCAACAACGATTCATTGCCACGATTAGCAGGCGGCAGTAATGAGCTGATGTCGGCGCCTGAGTTCCACAGCCAAGGGTCGAGTAGGCCATCAGTAACTACAGTGGCGAGTAATGACTCACCCTCGACGCCACCTTCCTATGAAGATGAAAGGCAACCGTCCGGTATGACTTCTAGCGTGGATTCCTGGTTGAACGATTACTTACTTCTATCCGATTTCAAAGCTCATAGAACTTCCTCACATCAGATGCCCAAACTTGACCGCACGATGACGGACGCTTATGATGATGAGCTGTTTAATCCCAGCTATCCCGTGATTTCGGCACCTTCTCCAGCTTCTGCCTCGATTCGAACATCTGCGACTCCAAACAATGACGTTTTCACGGAAAGATTAAAGGCCGCAAACCATCAGCACTTGAATGCAAACAAGCATGAAGCGTCGAATCTATCTCCCCGCGAACGATCACCTTTCCAACCGAACTCTCCATTGGCCCCTTCTGCGGCAGCTTTTAATACACATAATATGGGATTTGCAACTGCGACGCGCATGCGAGAACAACAAAAAGCGAAGGACGATGCGTTGGCTATGCAAGAGCAGTACCAGAGGACTAAACCGGAACAAGCTACACCAAGGACAATCTCCCCAAAGGATGTTGATTTGGTCTATCACGAAAGCGATGAGGATGCAAACAATCCATTGTTTCCGCCGCCACAGCATAAGCAATCGCCAGTGACTTACCGTCAGCAGTCAGCGATTGTTCAAGAGCCATCTGAGTCAGAAGATATGTCATTATCGCAACAAAGCTATGGTAGTATGGCTACAACACGACGAGAAAGTTCATCGACATATTCTACGAGCTCACAAACCACGCCAAAACAAGGACAATTTAATTTCGCAACCCCCACAAGTCCAGCCAGCGTTCGACAATTACCTCAACATTATCCCTTCATTCCCTCGTCGCATCGTCAGACGAGTAGCATGTCGAACATGTCAAATGCGTCGAATGACTTCCCTGCGACTTTAACATCTATGGAGTCGAGCAGCGACGATTACTCAGCCGAACCAGAAATTCGAAGACCATCAAATACATCAGCGGATAGTGGAACATACACATGTACGTATCACGGGTGTACATTACGGTTCGAGACACCAGCCAAACTTCAAAAACACAAAAGGGAAGGACATCGGAATTCGACATCAGTGATCAACAACATGGGTGGGGAAAATCGCGGTGGTATGACATCAATGGCGCAAAAGCTCAACAGTCAAAGCGGGCCTCACAAATGCGAACGGATAAACCCTTCAACGGGTAAACCCTGCAACACGGTATTCTCTCGACCGTATGATCTTACACGACATGAAGACACCATTCACAATTCATCCAAGCAAAAGTTACGATGTAAATATTGTACCGAGGAAAAGACATTCAGTCGCAATGATGCGCTTACTCGACATTTGAGAGTGGTACATCCAGAAGTTCCCGTTAGCACCGGAAAGGGAAGGAGAAGAGGCATGGGACTTGGCAATATGGATTGAAATTCCAACACTCGAGTGCTCTATTGAATCATTCCATGGGGGGAATGGATTCAGGGGAATGAATGCAATGGGGATGATCAGCTTTTATCATTTAATTTTTATGGAAGGACGATTGATTGAAAAATTATCAATTGTATCTCATATTGATTTGAAAGCGTTTATTTATCTATCCATTCATCCATTCATTCCTTCATTCAGTCCTCCCTGTTTCTCTTCTTTCTCATCCATCAGTCGTTACTCATCATCCCATCGTTCATCGTTCATCACTTAAATCATCTCCCTCAAAATGGATGAATTGATCATTAGAATGGGATGGCACAGTAACGCAAGCGAAGTATGGTATGAGAAAGAGAAAAGAAGAGAAAATTGAAAATAGATCGTCGGTCGATTCCGTCACACAGCCAATCAACAAATCACACTGACCAATCAAATCGATTGATTTGTGACCCAAGCAGAGCACAGCACCACTTTCCACTTCCATCACTCCACTTTATTGGGTTTACTCTCTCCACTGTCTCCACTCTCCACTCTCAACTCTCAACTCTCAACTCTGGACTCTCGACTCCCAACGTAATCGACTGATAACCCTTCAGACTTATGGAGCGTTTATGATTGGACAATTAGTACTTTGTACATTATCGTCCGTCAAGGCCTTTTTCCTGGTTCGTCGGTGTTCAAGGGAACTCTGTCCGATTTATCCGACTTCCCGACTAAAAGAGTCAAGATTCCATGTTCCATGATCCTTCTCTTTTATCGAAAGGTAGATTGAAGCTGTTTTCATCATCTCATGCGAACTAATGATGCACGAAGGGTTTTTTCGTCTCCACATAATTATGGGTACTGGTCATTGTTCGGAAGCACAGACTAGCACAATTTATCCACTTGTCACATTTCGCGATGTGAAAAGGAAAAACAATTCCGGGTTCATGAGACACAATGATTTTTCATGACATCATCGATGCGAGGATGCTGAACAAGTTTACGGAGAACACACATTTACACTTACACAACATTTATACACACACACATCGTGAGTGTTACGCAAACACAACATGGAAATGTAGTTATGCCTTTATGAAATGAAAAGCGTCATGACTCATGACTCATGGTTTTAGGGGTTTTCAGGGGTTTGGGTTTTACAAAAGGAATCTAGCCGCTTTCCTACGTCGTTTATGGAATTTTTGGGCGTCATTTTATGGAATTGTTATAATCGAGCATTGGGAATCAAGACTTGGAGAAGAAAATTGTTACGGATTTTGTTTATGGATTTTTCAGCAGGCTCTGGATTTGGATGGCATTGACATGGGTAATAAGGTCCGACTAACCAGTTACTTGTCAATACTGTAGTTGTCAAAAATTTCTTTTTTCATCTACTTTTTTCCTTTTTTCTCTTTCCTTCAAATTGTCTCGCATTTGAAGTGTCCCTTTGGGCTAGGAAGGCCTGAAATCGTCTCTGTACCATCATGTTATCTCTCTATCTGTTGTATTCATACCTCTTTCTCCTTCCTTTCCTCTACTTTCTTTTTCATTTCTCTGTCGGAATAAAAAATTGTACAACGAATGCATGGATTATAGAACGGAACGGGAATGTATCATGAACAAAACTCAATTCCTCATTTCATGAATTTAAACACTTATCATGATGGGGATGGGGATACAAAAATAACTTAGAATTTTAGATGCGTATGTAGCACAGGTACTTGAATAAGAAGTAATTTAATACTGTATTGCTATGAAAAGACCAGTTTCAATGTGAGATATTGTGCAAAAATTTTTCAATGTGTTTCAAGGTATGAGTCGTGAGGTTCTGCTTTTGCTTTGTATCTATAGATTTTAATAGTTGTTGCAATGGGTTTGGGTTTGGGGTTGGGTATGGGTATTATGGAAGAAAGGTGAAATGATGGGGATAATTACCTAAAGTTATCAAAATGATATTCTTTCAAGAGTGAATAACATCAGGTTGGTACTACAAAGTGATGATGTTAATATGGTATTCTGATATGTAATTTATTTATCTAAAACAAAACAACATTAGTATTGAGAGACTGATACTATATTACTATTCAATACATTTCATTACTATCAGAATAAGATCATGAAAATTCTACAATAGGAAAGAATAAATTCAGCTACTTGTTTTATTTATATATAAATCAGAGGGGAACAAGATATATGATTTGAGTAACGATCACTATACATAAAAGAATCACACGAGCAGATATAGAACGCTAAAAAAGAATAACTTTCCTCACATATCTGAAGCAATTGCTATCTACTTTTCTTTTTCTAATATCTTTATAAACCATACAACGGCATAAACTCATCTCTCATTGAATCACCGATGAAGATAAGGATACCAGGTAGGTAGGCATCCAAACCCTTCCCATTTTAAGCGGTACTATCGCCCATAACAGCTGCCCTAGCATCAACATACAAAGGTTGGATGCTTGTCCATTTTTGAAACTAGACGATATATCTTAGTAAAACCATTCAGAAATATTACCTCGTAACATACGAGGAGGTGAAAAGGGAACAAACTAACCTGATACCATCCCTGTGCACTCAAAACCTCCAGTCCAGGAATTGCAACCCAGCCAGCATCTTCCGCCATTCTCATGAGTGGGGTTTGAGATGGTTTGTATGCCATCTCCAACAAAGTTCTCTGTTTTCCCTCGTCCTTCTTCTCGTGTCTCAGCAGGACGGCGAGAGTTTCTCGCATATTGCTTTCGATCGGGCGATCAGCAGGAATCGTACTAATCGCGACGGCAGGAGGAGTAGTCAGTTCTGTGGCCGAGGTGGTGCTTGGGAGTGGGATGATGTTGAAGGATGAAGGGAATGAATTTATCAGAGTGTCGAGTTTGGAAGGCGTACGCGCGACCATGTAGATGGGGGAGTGGCCGAGAGAGTGAAGGGCGTAGATAGCAGCGCGTGCTGTACCTCCGGCGCCGATGACGAGAGCAGGGGAAGGAGAGTCGACAGGCGATGGCGTATGAGATGCGGACATGAGGGAGTGAGTCATTCCAAGCCAGTCGGTGTTCTCACCAACAAGACGAGGTGGGTTGTCTGGCGTAGGGATGATGGTATTCACGGCTCCTATAACCTTGACTGCATCGGTAACCGAGTCGAGAAGTGGTATGATGTCGAGTTTTAGCGGAATAGTAACAGATGCACCACCGAAATCTGGAGCGCGAATGACATCTTGTACGTCAGCAACGCGATCAGTTTCCAGTCTGGAATATCGATGAGGCAATCCTGTCTGCTTGAAAAGAGTGTTGTGAAGCGCAGGTGATCGCGATTGGGAGATAGGAGTACCAAAAAGGTAAAATGACTTTGGCTCTATTTCTCCAAGGGTCGACAAAGTTGATCTGATCTCGGCAGCAGAAAGCTGGCCAGGCGCTGCTTTGAATGGCAATGACGGGTGCGAAACTGGTGTCATGAAACCGTTTAGGACACGACTCAGTTTTCCCGTAACGCCCATGTTTATGGCGATCAACGGGGTATCATGAGCTGCCGCCATCGTCTTCTTAAATTTTGCAAGCGCAAAGTTATCTTCAATACTCTTGGCAGACCCAACAAGCTTGATGATATCTCCATACTGAAGGGCTCTATTATAATGTTGAAACCAACCACCGTTCTTCCATGACAAAGTTCCTTGAGGATCATGATGTGAAGCTATGATTCTCGAGAATCCTTTAGCCTCGGTAACTTCCTGTAGAAGCTCATCAGGGAAAGCAATTTCCAAGTCGATATATTCGATGCCCATCTTTACGGCAAGTTTATAAAGTTTCAGTGCCTCTTCATGTGCAGCGTCCGGGAAGCGACCTCCCTGACTAACTGTTCGCACAGTGAAAATTACAGGTAAATGAACCACTGATCTCAAATGTGCAATTTGAACACTCAAGAAATCAGTGCCTGGAATTCCATTCGTGGAAGATGGATCCTCCAGTAAATCAACCCGCACTTCCACAGCATCAGATCCTACAGCAACACTAGGTAATATATATGCTGCTCCTGATATGTCCGGCATTGTGAGGGAAACAAAGAATGACTGTGGTTTGTTTCGCATCTCGTCAAAGTGTAAACTCTTTCCGGAAATGTGATGCAGGAACCTGGCGAAATCCTGTTCCGCAACAGACAGTGCGCTGGCACCGCTGCCCTTGCTATGATATTGGAAATTACTGCATTCGTTGAACCAAGGTTTGCGGCGAGAGTAGACTCCCATCATATCCTCAACATAAGCAGGTCGAGTCTTGTCTATGCGAAGATAATCCATGACCTGCTCTGTATCTCGATGAACCAAAAGTACAATTCCGCCGGATTTATGGAAATTGATCAAAAGTTCTCGTGCCTCGGGCATTTCAACGACTCCACCGCCACAGGCAAACACATGCTTCTCTGGCTGGTCAGTCAGACAGTGCTTTAGAAGATCCAATTCAGCGGCTCTGAAGAAATCCCAGCCCTTCGATCTGACCATATCAGGTATTGACATCCCTGAGATGCGCTCCAGCTCTACATCAAGATCTTTGTAAGGTCGACCAAGAATTTTCGCAGCCCACGCACCAGCCGTAGTCTTTCCAGCTCCGCGCATACCGATTATGAAGATGGACTTATCTGGTAGCGCTGGGATTCCAATTTTTTTGCTGTGCGTAGCTTTGACTTCCTTGCCAGCAAGCTCTACTTGGAATGACTTGGAGAGGATATCCCACCATCCCGGCCAGGTCTTCCCAACACATTCGCGCTCTTCGATGAGAACGGGCTGGCTTGCAGCGACAGACAATACGCTGAAACTCATTGCCACGCGATGATCGTCGTAACAGTGAATTCCTTCAGCTGGGTGCTTCAAGTCTTTTATTGGTACACCATCGACCTCGATTCCATCTTCGAGTTCACGACATGTGACACCAAATTTTGCAAGTTCATCCTTCATTGCTTTGATCCGATTGCATTCCTTAACACGCTGGTTGGCGATTCCCCTTATCTTAGTCGTGCCTTTTGCCACTGCGCCTAATACGGAAGCAGTCAAGAAAGCATCCGTCATTGGCTCCATATCAACTTCCTCAATAGCTTGAAGCGATCCGATGGGGGGACCAGTCACGGTAGTAGAATAATCTGTCTGGACTACTTTACATCCCATTGGTTTTAAAACATCGATCGCAAATCGAGCATCGCCTTGAATAGACTTGCATCCGATGTTTGGAATTGTGCAAGTAGTTCCAGAGATGGCAGCTACAGCGAGTGGATAAGTCGCTGAGCTAGCATCACTCTCAACTACATACTCTTCAGGGTTCTTGTAAACTCCTTGTGGTATATGGTAAGTATGCTCTTCCGTCTGCGATCGGACGACGTGGATCCCGAAAGCTGCCATCATCGCTGTTGTCATATCAATGTAAAGTTGCGAAATGGGTTTCCCGCCAACAAGACGCAGAGTCACCGGATTCTTAGCGTAAGGAGCGCACATGAGGAGAGACGAGACATATTGAGATGATACGGTGGCTGCTAAATTGATGTCACCTCCAGTGAAACCACCGGAAGCAGCAACATTGAGCGGGAGACTGTGCTCTTTCTCAAGGTATTCGATATCAACACCATTTGCACGTAGCGAGTCGACTAATGGACCAATAGGTCTAACTTTCATTCGTGCATTCCCAGTAAGAATGGTAGACTTTGTTGAGGCTGAAGGCTTGCACAACGAAACCACAGTTGTAAGGAAACGAGATGCAGTACCTGCGTTTCCAATATAGAGTTCCGTAGGGCTGGCATGCAAGTCGCCACCCTTACCTTGAACACAGAGCACTTCACCCGCATCTTCCCATGCGTATGTCGCACCACCAAGCTTACCAATTGAAGTAAGCATGAACTCTACATCATCCGAGTGGAGGAGGTTCTTGATGCGGCAAGGGCCAGTGCCAAGAGCCGCAAGAACAAGAGCCCTGTTAGAGATACTCTTTGAGCCTGGTGGTGTCACCTCGACATTCAAAGTCTCGGGTACGCTAGGTCTAACCTCGACCGAGTCAGATAAGACGACTCTGATTGATCGGTCCTCCACGACACTAGCCTTGGGTTCATATGTTTTACCAATGGCAGAAAGTAAAACAATCTTCTTTTTTCTTCCATCATTCTTCTTGTCGACGCCCATCTTCTCTAATAGTACGTCAACAGGACATAGCTTCCCTGCCGTGAGCTTCTGAATGCGTTTGTCTGCAAGAGAGGTAGGTAGTCCATAACTCGCTATGCATTTGACCAGACGGGCGACTGCTCCTGGTTTCAAAACTCCCAAATGCCTAGCCAATTCTGCTTCCTTCACCATTCCAATAGCTACAGCTTCTCCATGTAGCACTTGCGGCGTCAGGATTGCTTCAAATGCATGCCCAATTGAGTGACCAAAGTTTAAAATATTTCGCAATCCACCTTCTCTCTCATCGGCTGACACAACATCGGCCTTGGTCTTCGCCGAGCCTAGTACTATTCTTTTCAATATATCTCGGATTGGGCCTAATCTTGTAGAGCAGTCTGTATTCTTGGCTCGAATTGTAGTCATAATGAGATTCGCATTATCCTCGAGTGCAGAGAACTCCGCCTCGTCCCAGATGGCGGCAGTTTTGACCACTTCTGCCATGCCATTGATGAATTCGCGCACAGGTAGGGTTTCTAGAAATCGCAAATCTATGTAGATTCTCTGCGGTTGCCAAAATGCACCAACCAAATTCTTTCCCAAAGGCGTATCGATTGCCGTCTTTCCACCAATGGAGGAGTCGACCATGGCCAGCAACGTTGTTGGGACCTGTACGAATCGTACACCTCTCATAAAAGTTGCTGCAACATAGCCAATCATATCACCAATGACTCCTCCCCCCAAAGCAATTATGACCGAATCCCTTGTACATTGGTGCGACAACATCCAGTCCTCAATCTCGGCTTTTGTTTCTCTACTCTTGGAATTCTCCCCTGGAGGTATTTCGTAGGTAAGAAGTCGAGGTGTTGAGCTCGATTTGGCAGCAAGTGCCTCGAAGGACTGTTGGAAAGCTGGGACGTAGAGAGGGGAGAGATTGGTATCTGTGATGAGGACATAGGTAGATGAGGGGAGGTCTGAAAGCAAATCTTCTGCAACGAAATTGCGCCAGATATCGAAATCGACGATGATATCTTCCTTCCCTAAAATTTCAATCCGCGTGGGATTTTCAAAAGTTGTAGATCCCATCTTGACTTGACCTAACTCAGCCTGCGAGCTCGAGATGCTTTGAAGGGTTCGTCTTCTCTTTGGTTCCTGAATTGTCGTGGGATGATGAAGGGACAGTACTTATATATCTACCAATTGCCCATGGAATCTGCCAGACAATGGTACATCCACTTTATGATTGATCGCGTGTAGCAAGTAGGAAGAGAGGGAGTAACCGTGGGGAAGGTATTGAAGATGTTGGACTTTACAGTTCAGTGAGTGCAAGTGAGTGACTCAATAAGTTGATCCGGATCCGAAACTTTTTTTTGTTGACAGGGATTTGGATAAAGAGCCAAGGTCACAATGCAGGGCGCAACTTGAGTATAATTATTGGTTCTGTAATAAATAATACTCCCTAGTTCTACAAAATAGCTTTCTTCCACTGTGAATGAAAAATGCGACAATGAGGGGTGTGGAATTCATTTTCTCGTCTCCATCATAAGTACCTAGGTAGCAAGCAGTACTTGGTTTTGGAAATACAATAAATACTATCCTCTCATATCGCTCAACATAGAATTACAGCACAAATTGGATGAATTGACGACTGCGGTGAGGAAATCAAACAAAAGAACAAGAGATAACATTTACCCTTTTGGGCGTTTGATGGTTGCGCTTCCGTCATCTTCTTCATAATAAAACAACTATTACTAAGCACAGCTCACTCAGCAACTACCCCAAGTAAGACTTCCAAGTTAGCACATTCTAAGACCACAACTCCGTATCTATCTTGGATCTTACTCTTCCAACATCTCCGAGAATGACTCGGTTGTTTTCAATCCCTCCATCATATAGAGACGACTTGGAGTTGACTTGGCTGATTTACTCCGGTCCTTTAGCTCTTCTCCGAATGAAAGGCTGCTACTTCTTTTCTGGCCGTCATCAACCTCCGACGTGCCAGTGATCATGAGCTCAACATCCCCTCCTTGCGCTGGCGGATGTTTAGAATCTTTGAGCGAAGTACGTGGTCGATATTAAAAAATACTTACCTAGTTCAATATCAAATAGTTCCATTGTAGCTCGTCAACCTTTTTATTAATATTCGTCTTCTTGGTACCTTGATAATCTCGAAGACATCTCGTATTTCATTCAATTTTTTATGTCCGAACTTCGTTGCCACAGCGGGCCTTTTGTTATTTCAATTGCCCAAAGGAAGTTACAACTTTTAGGCGCAGCCTATTTCAGGCACAGGAGGTTTTCTCTTCAAATATATATGACATCGCGCACAATCTCTTACTTGTTCAATCGCTGAGCTTCCTATGACTAGGCCTGTCTCGTTCGCGCGTGTTGTACCACTGAAGTACATTCTGCTGCGTCTGCCGTTTAAAGATATTTAACAGTCTCTCATAATACGAATGACCCGAGATAGTGGTTCTTACTCCGTCTTTGGAATCTTATTGCCAAAGTCTCTGTATTCCGCTCACAGTAGTCAAGACTACGGTTTTCTCAAGCATGACTATTTTCCATGTCGTAGCATGTCGTTTTTTCACTGTTGAATTTTAGGGACACTCCATTACCTCAAGGCTGTCTTCAAAACTGTTGCAACCCTTCCTTTAAAATCAAACATTACAATGTTTTCACAAAATAATAAAATGTTGGATCGGATTTTGTCACTTTACCGTGCTCTTACTTTCGTTTGTATATCATAAAGCTTACTTGGTACAATGTTTAACCCAGACTGAGAAATTTGGTAGAGGAAGTATACTGTTCAGGTTAGTGAATGACCACGGATGAGCAAAAAGAAAATATCTATATACTTATTAAAATGGATCTGACCTTCCAGAGCTAAGTATTCTTCTTGTTCTAGCCCTCTCCAACGCGCCACAAGCTTCCTTGGTACGTTGTCCTGAACCCCGACTATCAACATCCACTTCAAGTACAGAATTCCGCCGAAGGCAGCCACTACTTTGGCGCTGGCAATATCAAGTCTCATTGCCAGGACTAACACCTGGACTCATAACACAACTTTCATAGCCATAGCCAGATGAGCCATCAGCACATCTTGACCTATTAGTCCATTCGATAAGGAAAAGTGTGGATGCTTCACCCCATAGATATGAAAGACTAGTAGACAATCCAAGCCCCGAACTCCCCCAAAATCAACATACTTCCAATTTGCGCCTGTGATAATTACCGGCTTCGAAGCCTAGGCGACCGAAGAGCTTCGAGTAAGTATATTATTTTAAACTTTTTATTTTTAAAAAGAAAAAAAAAAAAGGATAACGTAACTTGACTAGAAGTGGGTCATGTCATGATATGGGTCAGGTACCTTTACACCAAAATTTGTATGTAAAGATACTTAGAGCGTATTTTTCTAACTCTATAAATACTAGAGATATAGTTTCGATATTTTAAAGTATGATATATTCAATTTAAACATTTAATATGATAAAATATTATAGAGATACAATTTTTTTAATAAAGATATTAAAGTTTCTATCAAATTTTCGTTTGTCTAACAAAAATTACTATGGGAGTTTTTAAAATCGTATTAATTCAAGAACAATATTATTGAAAAGTGTTTTGTAACTTTAATACTATATTTTTATTAGATGTCAAGCCTAATTATCAAAAAAAATAAAATTATCTTTAATATCCATAGAGATATAAAAAGTCGTTCTAAGTACCTTTGCATACAAATTTTGGTGTAAAGGTACCTGACCCATACCATGACATGACCCACTTCTAGTCAAGTTACGTTATTATAATTAAAGACGAGAATATTAAATATTGAATATATATTAAATGAAATAGAAAATAAAAAATAAAAATAAATTATTGATTTAATTAATTTTTAAAAATTTGAAAATATATTAAAAAAATCTTTCAAAAAAATAGAAATATTAATAATTAAAATCTTTAATGATTATAAAGATTATAAAGATTATATAAAAACTTTCGTTTAATCTTATTTTTATTTAAGAAATTCATAATTTTATTATGAATATAAATAAAGAATTCTTTAAATATAAATAATATAATATATATTTATAAAGATATCGAAAATATATTGAATATATACTAATATCTTCAATGTTAAAAAAGATCAATAAATTAATATTTTTAAAAAAAGTTTATTTATATTATTAAAATTATTAAAGATTTTTTATTTAAACAATTATATAGATTTTTTAAGAATCAATTAAAAATCTTGAAAGAATATTTATAAATAATTTTGAAAAAAAATAGACATGTTATTTAAATAATCAAAAAAATATCTTTGTATATTTAATATTTGAAAATATAATAATTTAAATTTATATATTAATTATTAAAGATTAAATATTATTAATTAATAAAACTTTATATCGATTAAAAAATATTAAAATATTTATAAAATTAA